CAGCTCACCACAATAATACAGCAACTTAGTTTGTCTCGCGCCATTTTTTCGTGAAAAACGTGAGATGTCAAGGGTAAAGATGATAAGAATATGACGGATAAGAAGGATAGGATAAGGTAAGGATGAAAATAATAAGGATGAGGATCAGGCGCGGGTTTAGACCAGTGCAATTTCAAGCACGTGGACTCGGACTCAGGCTGATGATTCGGGAAAATTGTGGACCCTCGTTCTGAAGCCTGTAACGCGACGAAGGTGGACCCGGTACCCTTTACCGGGACATTTGAACTTGCTTCCAACCTCGCAGTCAGACTCTAGGAATCAGAACCGCGCCTGCCAGCGGAAGATCAGGATTGATGGTTGCCAAGTTTCAACCCCTCACCAAACGCAGCGACCTTTTGCCCCTGCAAGCAGAAATTGTCGGCGGCAGGTGCAGCCGGAGCGTGCACGGACGCAATGTCAGAGACTGCACTGCAACGCTCGCAAAAACGGCGTGCACGCACAAACAGATGGCGGCGGCGATTGCCGGGCGGGCCAAGTCCCGGGTGAACGGCCACAGTGTCGTCGCCTCGGGCCGGGCCCGGAGTTCGTCGCCGGGCTGCGCCGCTGTCGGCGGTCCGGACCGGCGCGCGCCGAGGAGCCGGAGACGGCGACGCACGGAAAACGCACTCTTGAGAACTGAAGTGCGCGGGCAATGCAAATAGGAAATGCCTGTGATGTTAGTGTCGTGATCTCGTTTTTATGCAGTGCTGTGTTTTAAGTTCAATCAAACTTTGTCCATGTGTTATTCTTACCGACTTATTTCACACGCATGTGACGCTTTCTTTGCCTTCAAGGCCATCCTACTGGGAAACAAAGGTCAAATTACTGGAAGCCCACATCGGCTAAAAATATGGCACTCAACTGAGCGTTTTAAGTACAAAAGCGTGGTTCCTGGGAGCGAAATAACCGTTGTCGTCGACGTGCCTCTAAGCCCAAACCAAAAACTTAACATAGTTCGTCATCCGGAATAGCCTTCAGTGCGGTAACCAGAACTCTCAAGATCACCATCTAAGGTTAACATCAAGATCTCACTGCTGGAAACTCCGTAGATTAAAACGATAGAACTAATCGGTTCTTTGTGGTGCGAAAATTTGCCTGTTGCCTACTCTGAGCAACGCCAACTTAACCCGAAGCCTTAAAGTGAATCCTTTAAGGTAAAAATGAAGTTAGAATATCGGCGAGCTAAGTTAGTCCACTTGACCGTTTTCGATGCGATAATTTAAACGTCCGGTTGGTGCCATAACTGTGGTGAGTATGGAGCTTCCCGTCATTGATATATATATATATATATATATATATATATATATATATATACATATATATATATATATCTCTCTCTCTCTCTCTCTCTCTCTCTCTCTCTCTCTCTCTCTCTCTCTCTCTCTCTCTATCTCTCTCTCTCTCTCCTCCTCTCATCTCTCTCATCTCTCTCTCTCTCTCTCTCCTCTCTCTCTCTCTCTCTCTCTCTCTCTCTCTCTTTCTCTCTTGAAGAGGGTTCGTCATTCCTTATGGATGGCTAGGGGGCGAGGTGCGTATCGATGCTTAAAACGCCCGGCTAGATGTGATTTCGGCCAATATGCCTTTCTCTTGCCCTCATTCTGATCTTGAAAGATAATATTCATGGTTCAGTTTAACTTAACGACGATTAGTCCGAGTAACGAATTTCGTTTTGCTACTTTACTTTTTGAATGTTAAGCTTTTATGATAGGCATCATGTCACATCTTTTTGAATGTTGAGCTTTTACGATATGTATCATGTCACATGTATATGTAACATGATACATATCATGCCGTACTGATTTGGCCACGGAGCGCCTGCAAGGTACCGCTGTTTGGTTGATGTAAAATTTCCCGCCATTTAACATTGGCTTTGGCCTTGAAGCATGTCTTTGGAAACAGGAAATATTTCATTTGCTTATGAAAACGCGGCAAGGTTAACTCATATCCAAAGGTGTAATGTGACATCAGAATGCGACTATAAATGTTTGAGAGTAAAATGAAACCTAAGTCGGTATTTCACGTAGGGCCAGGTGATCCCACGCACGGTATGGCTAAGATCTTTCCGCTGTAAAACTTGAGCGGGGAAGCCATACATCACTGTAAAGTTTCCATTTCGTACAGGAGCAACATGGCCACCGTCTCAGACAGTTCACGGCGATTTGGGCTTTTGGATCAGCGGATATTCCTGGTCATTTTTTGGTCAATCCGAAGGCATGAAAGGGTTGTTTTGCTATTCTCACCAGAGGAAGTTAAGCTATCTTTCCTTTGAGAAGCAGTGTGTATCCACACAACTAACTTAATCTGGTGTTGTCTCCGCCTAATACGCAACTTTCAGGTCAATGTTTTCCAGCATCCCAATAAATAATTTAGGTGCCTCAGTTGCAGAAGCAGGCACAGAACGTCGTTTCTTGTATACGCTCAACCGTGTCCTGAAAAAGCCATGCCGTAACATATAGATGACATTCAATTCACCAATGCATTACAGGTATGGTCACTCCGCAGTGTGTCAGCGCGTCAAAAACAATGCAACAGACTACATGGGGTCTAACATGATATTCCGCTGGAATATTGGTCATACCTGCTCCTACCTAACTCGGGCTTCTATAAGACAGTCTGGCTCTGTGTTCCTGCAGTGAGAAAAAAATGCCGCAAGTTTTTTGGTTTCCTCAGGCAAGAGCACTTTCTGAAATTCGCGACTGCTTCGCACCTGTGGAGTTAATGAATGGGGTGAGAGTGGTGTGACACTGCGTCCATGTGGAACCGCATGGGCCCCGGAGGCTACCCCACTGAGATAATCCTCACCGGGGACGTCACCATCGCGCTCACATCACGCTCGGGCGGGAGTTCCAGCCAGCGCGTGGTCGGGCTCAGGCTCACGACTGATGGCCGTCAACATGAGCGCGCGCTCGGAGAGGAGAGCTGTCGCAGGGGGGCAGGCTTCGACGGGCACCGAGGCAAACGCGGTGGATGGCGAGTGTTTAAGCGTGATCGAGTGTTTAAGTGTGATGAAACCTAAACATAAACAGTGTTGTGGGAACTTGCAGGCAGTTCAGCTTTGAAGCAATGCAAGTGTCCTTTGTTTTGATTGGGGGTTAGCGTTGTGGCCAGGTTTACACCCAGGGGGAGCCACATCGGGGCATATGGGATATTTTCACTCAGGGAGTTCGACATTCTTTGCTGTAGGGCCCTGTTTTCAAATTCCGTGGAACTTTTTAGGCCTGGGGTCCCATTTGAATGCCTTGAGAGCCATTATTGGTGGTTAAGAAGCCCTATGGATAACTTATTAGCAAAAGAGTATTGGGGCCTTCGGTCTTACGGGAGGGGGCACCTCTCCAGAGGGAGCGGGCCACAATCCCCATCCACGCGACTACGTCACTGTCGGGGGGGCCATACGCTGCTGTGTGTGACGCCACCAGCGTTTGTGTTTGATATACTTAGTGGTTCATTATCGTCGTGACCAGTTTATCTTTTTATTAAATTCACCCTCGCGCCATTTTTTGACGTTGTTTCCGCTCCGCTGCGGCGCCTGCTACCGCCCATCCTCCTAGTTTCACCGGCTGCCGCCAGGCGTCCGCCTGCCTGCGGCGACGGCCGCGGCACGGCGCCACCGTCGCAGCGTCGGAAAGTGAAACGTCGCTGGCGTGTCCGGCTCCACAGGATGTGAGCTCGCCTCCGCCCGGCATTCACGGCCTAGGTCGGCGGTGCACTTTCTCCCTGCACGACTGTCGCCGAGCGCAAAGCAGGCCAGCTCGGCAAAGGTGGGTCAGAGGCTGACAAAGACCGGCCGCCGCGCGAGACGGAGGTGCGGCGGCGGATCGACCGCCGCTGCGGCGCTGACAGCGCGTGCGCCGCGGATGCGAATCTTCGCCGCGGTGTGTGAATGCATGAGTATGGGATGGGGGAGGTTCATGGCCTGGTGTGCTTCGGCGATAGAGAAATGAGACAGAGTGCATCTTCGATAAGTCGTGGCATCGGCCGGAGACTTGGCAACACAGGCTTGGCAACACGAGACCGGGGTAAACCGCAGGCGATTTCAGGCGTTGAAAACGGCTGAGTTCCGAAGGATGGTTCCTTGAAACTCCTCCTCGGCGACCAATCCACTCAAGGTTCATCGAAACCCGCGAGCCGCTGTTTTGAAGGGAGATCAGCTGTCGTTAAGCAGAAAGCAAATGTTTGTCATCTAAACCACGGGACACTGAACAGGCACAAACCTGAATACATATACAATCCAGCCCGCCCCGTCGCGCCGTACCAAATTCACGTCCCGCTTCGGGATATTTACTTCTCTATCGCATCATGACATGACTGGATTGAGCTACTTTCACTCAGCCAAGCTGTGTTACCGTCACGTGACTGTGAGCAGAAATCAAGTTACGTGGCTCTGCTGCAGATTCTTAACCAATCTAGAGTTTCTTCACGGGTTAGGAGCTGCTGTGCAGACTCAAACTTCCGGCAATGCCCTGCGCGGTTTTGCAGTGGCCCGACATCCGCATCAGATAGTCCGGCTTCTGTAGTTCGTTGCCGCATTGTCTATGCACTACTGCGTCGTTAGCGGGAGATACGATCCGCCTGCGTCCCACCACTGGATGACGCACCAAGCGTGCATCGCAATAACTACACGATGTGCCGTTGTCTTCTGAGGCCAGCCAGGCAGCAGACTCGTTCAAGCCATGCAAAGCAACACAATGAAATCGAATCAAATCGAACCCAGCCATCCGGCGCTAACGTTCCATTATTAGCAGAGCTTAGACGTGATTCGTTACCAATGGCCCATCGCCAATCGACCCGGGCGAAAGTGTCTTTCAGCTCCAATGCCCCGGCATGCGGCGGCGGCCGCCAACTGAGATGAGGCCGTCCGTCACCGCCTCGGTATCTGTCCGCGGCCTTCTCCAGCAGTCTCCCTGGCAAACTGCCGCGTTCAGAGCCGTTCGCTCTCACTCCGTCCGCCATCCGCGTCTGCCTCAGCAGTCGCCCTGGTAGATCTCCTCCTTCGGCCGGTCCAGCAGCGTCGTGAAGCGCTCCACGTCGTCGCGCAGCTGGGCGGACAGGCGGCGCGGGTCCGACCCGGTCGTGTTCACGGCCCGACCCAGCCGGTCCACCAGCCGGCAGGCGTCGTCGAACAGCTCCAGCCGGCGCCGCAGCCGGTCGCGCTGGCAGTCGCCGACGACGGCGCGGCTCTTGAGCAGCAGCGCCACGTACACGAGCGCCGAGGTGGTGACGCAGAGGCGTGGGTGCTTGGGACGCCGCGCCGCCGCCGCCGTCAGCACGCGCACCAGGTGGTGGGCGAGCGCCTGCTCCAGATAACCTGTCATCGGCAGGCGGCGGATGTCCAGCTGAGGCTCGGCCTCCGCGGCGGCGGCGGCGGCGGCGGCGGCGGCAGCAGCTTTGGTTTCCGGCGCCGGCGGCCGCTTCTTGGGTAGTACACAGGCGCAGTAGCGACGCGGCTCCTGCATGAACTTCTCGCGCGCGTCCTCGGACGCGCACAGGTACACCTGCTGCAGGTAGCCGACAGCGAGCTTGTCCGAGCCGGCCACCAGCGCCTCATACCGGTGGCCGCCGGTGACGTAGCTGACGGAGCAGAAGCCGCCGAAGGCCAGCGCCATGTTCGGCAGCAGGACGGCCGTGTCCAGGACCGACAGCCGGCGCGGCAGCTCTGCCGGCAGCGGCGCCGCGCGCGGCGGCACGTACTCGGCCTCGTCCGCCAGCAGCAGCTCCTCGTGCTCGGCGCTGCACGTGCGGTAGAAGCGCGCCTGCAGCTCGACGGTGTGCGCGAGCCGACGGTCGGCGCTGAGGTCGACCAGGCGGCCCTGGCGCCAGCAGACGGGGCAGTAGTGCCGGTAGGGACCCAGCCGCACCGCCAGCTCGTCGGGCGTGATGCACAGCGCGCCGACGGGCGCCGCGCGGCCTGCCGCCGTGCACTCGCGGTACCGGTAGATTCCGCGGAGGCGCTCCTCGAGCGCCTCGCGCGCGGTGTTCTCCACCGCCCAGAGGCTGGCGTCGGCGTCCGCCGTGACGACGTTGTCGTGCAGCCGGCGGTACTGATCGGCCAGCTGCTCGGCGGCCGCGCGCCAACAGGCGAGCCGTACGCAGTGCGCGCGCGGTTGCTCCAGCCGCGGCTCCTCGGGCGGCGGCCGCCGGCGCGTGGCGGCCGCCTCCAGGCGCGCCTGCTCGGCGCGGAACCAGTTCTCCTGGCGGCGGGCGCGGCGCGCGGTGGTGGCGGTGCCGGCGCGCAGCTCCAGCACCAGGTAGGGCAGCACGCCGACGGCCGTCAGCGCGCGCGCCTGCTGCTCCGACTGCGGCCAGCCGTCCAGCACGTAGCCGTGCACCTGCGCCGGCACCGACAGCAGCGCCATCTGCACGGCCGACACCACCAGCGGCTCGGGCACCGCCTGGCCGTCCTCCAGGTGGCGCCGCGCGCGCTGCGCCAGCTGGACGGGCGGCCAGCGGGCGAGGAGGGCGCGCACCGCCTCGCCCGGTGACACGCGCTGCAGGCCGTAGCGGGCCACCAGGCCGCAGCTGACGGCCGTTTTGCCCGACTTGGGCGGCCCGAGCACAGCCACCCGGCTCGGGATGAGGTAGAGCGGCGCCTTCTGCGCCGTGTACATCGTCGGGTTTGCCACAAACTTGTCCAGCGCATCGCTGTTGACGCAGTAGTAGATGTGGCGGCGGAAGATGACGGGGTACGGGCGCTTCTGGGTCGGGTTGAACGGCGGCATCATGAGCCCACGCTCCAGCAGCGTCACGGGACACTGCTTGCCGAACTTGCTCAGCTGGCGGTAGCCTGTGTCGAGCAGGCGGGCGGCCATGTTGGTGCCGATGGGGTACGCCCGCTGCATAAGACCGACGCGGTATTTGGTGTACTTCTCCACCGCCTTGGCCAGCGTGTAGTCCACGATGTGACCGCGCTTCCTCGCGTCGACCTCAAGCCAGGGGATGTTGGCCTCCTTTGCCACTTCTCTTAGGGCTTCGAGTGCCTGAGTGTCGTCTTCATGCCACTGTCTGAGAATGTCGGAAATGCGCTCTTTGGCTTCCTCCTTTGTCTCCCACGACAATTCATTATCTTCAATTTCGGGGAATTCGTCTGATATTATCTGTTCTATATCCACTTCCTCCTCTTCCTCTCCTCCCTCTTCCCCGAGTGTAAGCGCATCAGATCCCTCTGGAGGCTCGTCGTCAGTCAAGTCACCTTCTTCATCTCCTTCCTCAGCCGCCGCCTGTTGCAGTTGTAGCAAACGTTCTTCTTCGCGCTGCTTTTTCTTCGCTTCGATGTCTTCCGCTAGCTCCTTTCGTCTCTCCTCAATTTCCCTCAAGCGTTCAGAGGCTTTCTCCTCCTGAGCCTTGTTCAGGCTCGCCTTGAAGGCGTCCATCTGTCTCTCCCACTCCTCCATACAGCCCTTCAGCAGGCGCTCCACCGTCTGCTCCGGGTCCGTGACCAAGACCACAAATGCGTCCGGAAACAGATGACGCTCAGTGAGGTAGCTGAGGTCGTCTGGTGTCGCGGGAAAACCCTCTAACACGAATCCGACCGACTTGAACGGCTCCTTCTCCCACCACTCACGCACGATCTCGTCCAGGGAGTCGGGCGAGAGCGAGGGCAGCTCCTCCTGTAAGTACGCCTCCACCTCCACCTGCCAGGGCGTCCAGCCGGCCTGCTCCTGACGGCGCGCCGCCTCTTCGGCCTCCTCCGCCGTTTCGGAGTCGACATCCCCCGGCGGCGTGTCAGCCGTGGCGTCGGTCGGCGCTGAGGGCGCCGGCGGCGGCGGCGTGTCCGAGCTGGAGTTCTCGCCGCCGGTGGCCAGCGCGGCGCGCTCCTCGCGCCGCTCGGCCTGGCGCTGCTCAAACTCATCGCGCATGCGCGCCGTCTCGGCCAGCACGTCCTGGATGTCCTCGGCGATGGCCCCCTCGCCGGCCACCTCTATCTTGGAGTGCTTGCCGAGCCGTGGCCGGCCGAGCAGCTGCATCAGCTCCTGCAGCCGCTCCCGGTAGTCAATGCAAAAGACACCGCAGCTCTCGGCCAAATGCTGCGCGCGGCCCGACTTGCCCGAGCCGTAAGCGCCCAGGAGCACAAGCCGCAGCGGCGGCGGCGCAGGACACGCGTCGCGCGGTATGTAGCGCTCCGGCTCAGCCACCAGCGCATCCATCGCCTCCTGCGAGCTGGTCAGGTACAGCTGTCCGCGGTAGCCGACAGCGAAGTCTCGCCGGCCCGGCTGTGCCACACCGAACTGCGAGTACACCACCGGACAAAACTTGCCCGTCTCGCCGTACAACCGCTTCAGATCTGACCTGGCCTCCTCGATGTCCTCGCTGGCCTCGTCCTTGATTTCTTCCTCCACAAAATCCTCCTCCTCCACCGCTTCTGCTTCGTCCTCCTCCACCTCGTCGTCCACGTCGCCGAAGTCGTGTTCCAGCTGCTCGTCGCTGGTCAGCTCTCTCGCCTGCATTTTGAAGTTCTTCTGCATCCGCTCGTTGACGATGCCGAGCAGCGTGGTGCCGGCTCGTGTCACCTTGTCCAGGGCCAGGACGATCGGCTCCGGACAGTTGCGCGGCTCGGCCAGACTGCGCACGGCGCTCCAGTCCTGGGCGAAACTCGCCAGAGTCTCCTTGTACGCGGTCATCATCGGACAAGATGGCGGCGGCTCGGGAGGCACCAGCGGCGTCGACATCTGGCCGTCGCTGCCCGCCTCTCTCGGCTCGAGGCTGTCCGCGTCGTTTGTCGGCTCGCCCGAGACGCTGGGAGGCGCTTCCGCCTTTTCTTTTGCCTTCCTAGCATTTGTCGGTTGGCTTCCACCAATGGAGAGCGTTTGCGGGCCCGCAGACTCGTCATCGGGCTTCTCTTTTTCCTGCTTCTCTGCATCTGCTTGTTCTGATGGCGCATCTGTCTGAGGCGGTACACCGTCCGCATTGTTCTGCCCCATAATGGCCTCCATTTGCTTTCTAACTGCGTCTTGTTCCTGACGTTCCGCTTCTGCGTTCGCCTGTTCTTGCATTTTCTGGGCCATCTCTTCGTTTTTTCTGCATTGCCTCCTGCTCTTCGGCGGTCTTTGTCGCGACAATGCTCTGGCTCACCTGCTCCTTGTGCTCTTGATAGAAATAGTCCTGCAGAAACAGAAAGTCATCGGAGTCATCCCAGATGCAGACCAGGTCGTCATACTCGAACTTCTCCTGCTGCATCATCGACCAGAGCGCCGGTTCGGTGGGCATATTATCGATGACCCAGCCGCCGTGCGCGGGCGTGTCCTCGGAGGCGGCGTGCCGCTGTCGCTCGCGCTCGGCCACCGTCTCCTGGAGCACGCGGAGCCAGTCGGCCGGCTCCAGCTGCACGTCCTGCACCAGGGTCTCCAGCTCGGGGCCGTACTCCAGCAGCGCCGCCTCCACCTCCGGATCCGGCGGCTCGGCCGGCTCATCGCTGCCGGAGTTCAGCTGCGAGCTGGTCCTGCTGGTTTCGTTCGCGCTCTGGGTTCGAGACACTGTCTCGCTGGCACCATCGACGCCCTGAGGTTTCGAGCTAGCTCTGCTGACCGCGTCAGGGTCCGGTGCCCGCGTGCTGGTTCGGCTGCCCGCCTGGGCGACTGAGCCGGCCGAGTCAGCGCTCTTCGCTTCGGCCAAATCCTGGCTGCCCGCATCAGCTGGCGCGGCTGATGTTGTCGAGGCGGCTGGCTCGTTATCGGGCACCTGTGACTGGGAGGCGACCTGGTCCGCTGAACCTGACACCCCCTCTGCAGACGCAGAGCCGCCGCCGGCTCCCGACTCTGAAGACTTCACAGACTGGTTCGTGACCTGTGACTGAGGAGAGACCTGGTCCGCTGAACCTGACACCCCCTCTGCAGACGCAGAGCCGCCACCGGCTCCCGACTCTGCAGGCTTCACAGACTGGCTCGACCGGGCTATCGGAGTGTCTTTTGAGTCCGCAGCGTCGGGTGTGACGTTCGCGCTCGAGGTTCCACCGGACTCCGGGGTGGCCTCGGCCGACTGGGTTGGTGGTGCATTGTTCGTGTCCTCTGCAGAATTCGGCGACTGAGTCTCGTCGGGCTCAATGTCCTTGCCATCTGCAGGGTCTTGAGGCTTTTCAGAACCATCCTCTTTCGTCTCTTCTCCGTCAGCAGTCGCCTTCGGCGCTGCACTCTGATCTGGCTGCCCTTCTGACCCCTGCTCTTGCTGAAGCTTCTGCCGTTCCTCTTCCTCCGTCTTCAGTCGCTCCTCCTCCTCCTTCTTCAGTCGCTCTGCCTCCTCCTGCTCGGCCTTCCTCTTCTCCGCGAAGGACTCGGCCAGCGCCTGCCGCTTCTCCTGCCGCTTCTCCTCCCTGTACTGCACCCGCTTCTCCTCCAGGTACGGCGCGCTCGCCGCGCCGGCGTCGATCACGTCGGCCGAGCGGCAGCTGGCGATCTGCGCCGCGAGCGTGCTGCGGCCGCTGGCCGGCGGACCGCACACGATCACGCGACACGGCAGCCGCGGCGGCCCGGACAAGAAGCGGCGCGGACACTGCATGAACTGCGCCAGCGTGTCGGCGCCGCTCATCACGTAGAAGTGGCTGAGGAAGCCGACCGCGCAGGCCGGGTCGCCGCGCACGACGCGGCCCTGCTTCATGCTGACCGGACACGTCACGCCGAAGTCAGACGGCGTCCACTTGAAGCGCAGACAGATGGGGTTGGTGTGCGAGAGCACGTGCGTGATCTCGTCCGGGTCGTCTTCGGCGGTCACCTGCGGCGGCTCGCCGCCCTCCTCCAGCAGGCGCACGGGCACGAGGGCGCGCGTCACCGGCAGGACGGCCAGCCGCAGCTTGAGGCTTTCGAACGCCGCACGCGGCGCCAGCGTGGCGTCGATCTCGATCAGAAACTCGGGACTGTGGTTCGTCATGTAGTCTTCGAGCAGGAGCATCAGGCGAGACTTGTACGCCTCGAGTTGATACGCGAACTCGGACTGGTGGCCCTCCGGAACTCGCAGCAGTCGGTCTCTGGCGGCCTTTGGAGCTGGTGCTAGGGGATTGGCGGGCTTTTTCTTCTTCTTTGGCTTGAAGGTCTTTTCGTGTTCCTCGACTGCATCACCTTCAGCCCCCTCTTCGTCTTCTTCTGGAATTATTTCCTCCTCCTCCACCTCCTCCTCTTCTTCCTCCTCCTCTTCTTCCATTGCCTCCTCCTCCTCAACCACGGCTTCTTCCTCTTCCTCTTGTTCTTCCTCTTCCTCGTCATCGTCAAGTGGCATTCGCGGAGGCTTTTTCTTCTTGGGTGGCTTCGGCTTGTCCGTGTAATATATCCAGGTATAGAACCGACCCTTTTCTTCATCCACCCGGTATGTTAACATCCGTGCCATGAGATCCTCATCCGAAATTCTCAAATGAATTATCACCGTTGGAGGAAGCGGTGACTCTATTACCATCTTCAGCTGATCCAGGTGCGACAGCACCTTCTCCGACAAGCAGGGCACGCCATCCAGCACGTAACCGTAGTGCAGGACATCCTCCTGCTTCAGTCGCTCGCTCAGCATCGCCACAATCAGCTGTTCCGGGACGGAGGCGCCCGAGGTCAGCAGTGACCGCATTCTGTCGCCCAGCTCGGAATTGTTGCCTATGATATCCTCCACCAGGTCGTCGGCGCTGATGTAGATCGTGCGCCACCAGGCGGCCAACAGCCTGGCCGTCGTCGTCTTGCCCGAGCCCGGCTTGCCGATGACGATGAAGCTGGTCGGCGGCTTCTTCAGCAGCTGCTCCTCGGCGGCGTCCATGTTGAAGGGGTCCTGTGGCTCCATCGATGGCTTCCTCTCCTCCACGCTGATGTACTGCTTACTGACGGCAGCTCGCTCGCGCACGTAGGCGGCGTAGTTGAAGTCGGTGGTGGAGGGATCGGAAGGTTCTCCTTCGGACAAGAGTGGGTTCGGGGCCTCGTGCTGCGACCACGTCATTGAGCTCTCCACTTTGGAGCGGGTTTGGTGCGCCAGGTCTGATTGGGCACCCGTTAAGAAGTTGAACGCCAATGCACCGGACGGCCTATCCGACACTAGGCCGCCGGGTTGCAGCGTATCTAACGCGCCGCCACTTCCTCCTGCTGTGTCCTGAGCGCCAGTCGACTTGGTAACGGAACTGCTGCGAGCTGGAGTGACAATAGTTTGGACAATGTTTTGCGCTGATTCAGGTTTGGAGCTACTCGGAGTAGATCCTGGTGTATTTTGATCACTCATTCTTGCAGCTGTTGAATGCTCATCTGAGAAAAATGCAAATCACAGCAAACCACGGGGATGACAAGTTTTAAAAATGTGGCGAGTTATCCGTGCTCTGCTGTGGATATCGCACAAGAGCTTAACATTTTAATCTTTGCGACACATCTTAACCCGTTCCGTCTGCCCTGAAACCTCCTATCTCTCAGACCTTGTTGCACTACTCCGTTGGAACGTAATTTGAGCATTTGCCATGCGCAGTGCTTATTCGAGCGCCTCTTTGAACGCGATCGTTAACGGATGCTGTGAATTTTGTCGCTGTGAATAACGGACCTTCGGTTTGCAGGGAGTCGTCGATAAAACACGTAGCCAAGCATATATATATATATATATATATATATATATATATATATATATATATATATATATATATATATATATTACATAACTGAGAAGACTTGCTGATCACATGGGAGTCCCGTTATACTATATAATGCCGGAGATAGAGAGCCTTTCTTGCGCATATCACTTTTACGGGAGCACACAAAGCATACCATCACCGTGAGATCAAAGGAACTTGTGAAATATGTGAAGCCCGTGGCGACTGTGACCCCACATGCGCATTGCCTTAAGTGTGACGTTAAGTGTTACATCGTGGTATTCTCTAATGTCATGACATTCAGATATCGTCCTCTACGGAAGATGTTATTAATGATGAATTATGGCTTCTCGGATCTTATATCCGTCCCCCGCGTTCCTGGAGGGCGATCTTTGAATGTCACGACATTTGGGAATGCCGCGACGGAATCCTTGCAGGATGCGGTGATCCAATGTTATGACCTGTTTCGTCACAGCCGGAAGTCAACTTCGTAATGCCGTTACTTAACCCATCGCGGCGAATATATTTGCATTCGTGGGCCGTCGTGCCACCTTTGTTGCATGAATCTCCCGGTGGGATTTCGCGCACCCTTGACATGCATACACAAAACTGTCATTTTAAATCCAGATAGCCATGCCTTAGCTGCACCGTCTGTTCACACCGCCACACCCGCGGATGGGTTGATGATGGGTTGTTCTTGCCACACGGTTTCATAGCCCACATCAAACCCTGGGCGTGGACGTCCTTTGACAGTTGGTTTTACATACATACATATACACATATATATATATATATATATATATATATATATATATATATATATATATATATATATATGGATTATCTGCATTTAAAATGATCCGGATTGGTTGAATAAAATGATCGCTATCTGGACTTAAAATGACAGTTTTGGATATATACATACATATATATATATATATATATATATATATATATATATAGTGTGTGTGTGTGTGTGTGTGTGTGTGTGTATGTAATGCCATGAGCTCTGATAACTTTTTTTAAATTATGCGTTTTAGAGGTCTCATATTCTAAGTCAATGCCATGCGAGCGGTTCATATCCCGACACTAGCCCTCTCCTGCCACCCGCTGCATAAAAACGCTCTCCTTTATACAGCGATGTATTACCAATATATCGCATACGGTTACACCCGGAGAGAAACCTTCACCATATCCACAAACCGCCCAACTCTCACGCGGGTCGGCGCGTCGGAGAACACCCAGCTCCAGCGATCGTCGACAGCAGGCTTCTGGCGGACGAGAATTAGCGGACAACTTTCCTAGCGTGTGAACTACCGAGACAAGAGCTGAAGAAGAGGTGGCACAAGGGTGAGTGCATCTGACAAACTGGGCTGCGCGGTCGCGTGCGGGACAGGACGCGGGCGGTCGACATCTCCCCGACGGCGCGGGCGGCCTCGCCGCCGCCGCGTCACTAGAAGGTGGTGTAGGCGTTGTTCTCGACGCTGAGCGAGCGCGACAGGCCCATGCCGAAGCCGGAGAGCAGGTCGGGGCTCTGGGTGGCCTGCTCGAACCTCTCGCGGTGGTACTTCTCCGAGTACTCCTGGCGGACGGAGACGGTGAGCGACGCTGGACAAACGAGTGCACGGCAGGGACGGCGCCATCACGTCTTGTGCGATGCACAGGATCCGCAGATTGCCAACACCTAACCAATGACCTCGTGTTTCAAACGGTGGTTAAAGACACTGAACAAGACAGTATTTTGTCACGAAATTGTGACGGTTGGTAACGACGAAGAAAACAACGAGCGATTTATACCGATCCGCACATTGTTTTATCGTGTAATTCACCTACTTTAAAAACGAGGCAGCTGAATCGTACCAAAGTCGAAGCAATAGATACTAAATCAATTAACTACTATATATCAATTCATACTGTTTCCCATAACACAACATTTCATAACACCCATGTTTATCAAGCTATGGCCACAATCCCCTTTACCAGTCCTCTTACAGATAATCCTCTTCCATGCTGTTCCATAATACCCGTGCTTTATCAAACCATTGCCAGAGTCCCCTTTACACAGTTTTTACAGCCTTCACTTCACAAACCCCCTTTTTCCACTTCCCTTTAGCAGTCCGCACGGAATCTGTGTGCGGTTCAGCACACCGGGAAGGGGTGGGGGCGGCCCCTCAGCCCGCCCGCTCGCGTCGGGTCGGTCGACGGCCTCTCACCCGCAGCCGGTTGCCCAAGAAGACGGCTCGCTCCCGTCGCTTCAGCATGTAGTCGTTGGAGAGCAGCCACCGATGCTCGGAGCACTCCTCGCACGTGGGCCGCTTGCTGCGAACGGGCGTCACCTCGTTAGGGCAGGCGGAGGCACCCGCCCGGGCACGTCACCGCTCTACACGCGAAGCACGTCGGCCACGCGCCTCGCAGATACGCGACATAGCGCGACCGGGTCGGGTTTCCCAGCGCGATGCGGCCGCTCCGGCCGGCATACCGGGCACGTCCGGCGCGGCTGATTTAGAACCGCGCCCGCATCCGCAGCCGGAACTGCGCCCCAAGCCGTCTTTGATCCGAGCGCGCGGCGGACGACCTTCTCCGACCTTCAGCCGGACGCGTGACGAGCGGCCGCAACGAGCCGCGTCTCCCGACACCCCCGCTCGGCCGCCGCCGCCCGCTCGGCCGCCGCCACCCACCTCGGTGCGCGCTTGAAGATCTGCATGAGGAAGCGGGTGGCCTCGGTGGTGATCTCGCGGTACAGGTACTCGAACCGGAAGCGGACGAACAGGATGTTCTGGCGCGTCTCGGCGTCGGTGTCGCCGTGGAAGGGCGTCACGCCCGACAGCAGCAGGTACGTGATGACGCCCAGCGACCACACGTCCGTCATCGGGAAGGCCGGCTCGTCGGCCAGCAGCTCGGGCGCTGCGGGAGGCAGGAGGCGGCGGTGTCAGAGGGCTGGACGACGCGGACGCCGGTGTCAGCGCTCGGTGACGTGTTAGTAGCAGCGATACCGGCTGAGGACGTCGGAACAGGACTCACGGTAGACAATGGCGACTCCTGCTGAGACATCTCGTGGCGAAGCTGCGTGTCTGTGTCATCATCTTTCTCTCTCGGGTTATATCGAGCTTTTCAATCTGGTCGCATTAAACGCAGCCGGCACTATAAATGCAATGCGATTGATCACAGTACGATATCATACATCGTAAATGTTGTACCGCATTAACGTATCATATATTCGCTGTCGCATACCATCCTGAAGCTCAGTTATGCCGTACCGCGGTAAATCAACTCACATAGTGCGCGCTACAGGTGACCCAGCATAACGCAACCGGCTGGTCGTCCGGGTTCCAAAGACTTTCTGCCTGGAAACGCAGTAGTCCAGGACTGCCGGGCCGTCCCACATTCGGGGTAATCCGGGAGAGTCCCACCGCGTCGGACGGCCTGCCTGCGGGACTCTCTTCAAAACCGGCGCGCACCGGCCTGCCTGCGGACCTCTCGTCAAAACCGGCGCGCACCGGCCTGCCTGCGGACCTCTCATCAAAACCGGCGCGCACCGGCCTGCCCGCCAGCCGCCGGGCGGTGACGTCACACTCCGAACGGGGGGGGGGGGGGGGGGGCTTACCGGAGTACTCGAGGTTGCCGCAGCGCTGCACGCGACAGCCGAGCTTGGTGACGCGCTGCGCTGAGCCGAGGTCCACCAGCTTGACGTCCACCCGGCGACACGTGGTGAGCACCACGTTGTCGGGCTGCAGGTCCAGGTGCGCCACGCCGCGCCAGTGCAGGTACTGCAGGGCGTCCAGCACCTGCGGCCGCCGGCGCGGGCTCAGGCGCCTCCACCCAGGGAAGCTCGAGGGGACCCGGGACATGCCTCCCGGTGGTCGCGTGTCGGCGGTGAGGTGCCAGCAGCTGGCATCGGATCAATAACGGCGTGGCTGTGACTGTGCGTGAGCTCACGTGCGGTAATAGTTTGCCAGCGCCACGCCCGCCACGGTGCGCAGGCTAATGTCCGCTAATACCCCGCTGGCACTGATCTCTGCCGGTCAGAGACCGGTAGCCACGCGTATAAGGTGCACGTGACGCTGCCGGCTCCATGCTGTTAGAGGGCGTTGCATCATTAGGAGAGGGGATCAGTGCAAACGCACCGGGACCAGACAAGGTCAAAGTCAAAGTCGAGATCGGCGGAGCTCGGGGCGTTCACAGTCCGGCCCCTGCTGGGCAGGAGAGATCCACACGCAACCCGGAGAACCAGCACGCGGTCGTTTCGGCAAGCAAACAAACAAATAAACAAACTGTGTTAGCGATCGGTGCGATCTCTCAGCACACTGCAGGGGGGCCTGCGCTGATATTCACATCACAGTCCACGGTGGCAACGTCAGCTGGCAAGCTTGGTCGCGTTGTAGGCTACACAAGACCGCTGTCACTCAATGCTGCCCAGTTTAAATGCGCCTCCAAATGCCGCTGTTTCCTTCGCCAGGCGTCTTCTGAACGCGAAAGAGCAAGGAGCCTGGCATGCACCCCCGGAGCAAGCCGGTACGATCCGTCCGTTCACGACGAGCTCTGAAAAGCACGCCGTTCTCGGGAGCCCACCTGCGTCACCACGGTGGCCACCATGTTCTCCGAGTACTCGTGGCGTAGCTGGAAATAGGTGAGGATGTCCAGACCCTGCAGCTTCTCCATGATCAGCACGTACTTGGTGTCCATTCTGCGGGCGGATCGAGTCAGTCAGCTCACACGGTTGGACGGGCAGTTTTGAATGAATGGTACATCGCAGCGAAGTCATACCGCCATGTATGGTAACTTGGAGCCCAATGCATGTACCTTGTAATCGCGCCGGGACCGTATCAGATTACGCGATGTTTGGCTGAGTTCTCTCCGACCAGTCAGCTGAGCGAGAGTCGGGCGCCTCGGGGTGACTGGGGCCGCAACCAGCCGCGTCCTTTTAGGGACCGGCCCTGGCGTGTGCTTTCTTTGTACGCCGTGGAGAGAGCTTCGGTTCCGTAGCATTCCGACCCTTTTACGAAATGACCACATCTGCGACCACGCAGTACTCGTATCTGAACTGAAAAGTGGCTCTGAGGTATGCAACGTCATATAATGTTGGACCGGGCGGGGTGAGATGAAATCCAAATTCTGGAAGTAGCAGTAAAAGCATCGCCTACCAAAAAGCAGTCCCCTCGAAGGGGGAGGGGCACTCTGCCTAGGCGTGGCCCGTGGCTCACCTGTAGGCGTCGTACAGCGCGGCGACGCGTTCGTGGCGCAGGTGGCGCAGCGCGCGGAACTCGGCGTGCGCAGCGTCCCTCGTCTCCTCGCCCGCCTCCAGGATCTTGGCGGCGCGCACCTGGTCCGTGGCCGTCTCCACACACTTGGCGACCAGCGAGAACCGCCCCCTGCGGCGACGGCCCGGCACGAGGGCGGGTCAGCATGGGGGCCAGGGCGGCGGCGCACGGCTGGCGTCGCGCCAAAACAGAAGGGCGAGGGGAGGGGAGGGGATGGGACGAGGATGGGAGGGGAGGGGAGGCGAGGGGAGGCGAGGGGAGGCGAGGGGAGGCGAGGCGAGGCGAGAGGACGGGAGTGGAGGGGAGTGGAGGGGAGTGGAGTGGGAGTGGAGGGGTATGGAGTGGAGTGGAGGGGTATGGAGTGGAGTGGAGTGGAGCGGAGTGGAGGGGAGGGGGAGAGAAGGCGAGGCGAGGGGAGTTCGTTCTACAGCAAGCCCGTATGTCAATCTCCCGGATTCGCTCAACATGAGCCATCGCTTGTTCACCCACATCATGCCCCTGGGAAGCGGAGCCACCTGCAATAGCGAGATGACAAGAGTGCCTACGACACACGCCTCTACTTCCGACACGTTTGCGTCATACGGAGCGCCGCTAGCGCTGCACCGGTGTCGCCTTCCTAGAAGACACCTTAGCGCCGACACCTTCACAATTGCGTTGTTCCGTAAACTGACTAATGCGGAGTAGCAGAATCCCGCGCTCAGCTCTCAAGTCTAAGGCGGAGGCGGACGCCGCCCAAGCATTCATTCCATCCTGATCATTCAGTTCCAGCAGGCTATATAAAACCGTCTTGCTTTGACGACGCATTGGCTTAACCGACGCTGGGCCGGATGGAGCTCGTTAAAGCCGCGGCAGTGGCCGCTGGTTGTGATGCGTAGCCCGCTTTAGCTGGAACTCGTCTTTTTCGAGACGACAGAGTGAAGACTGCCAGCGAGTGCAATAACTAAAGATACTGTACTACAGTGAACTTCACTGGGATGGATATGACGGTTACAGCATCGTTTTTCACATCGTGCGTGTCTCGCCGCAGCCCAGCCCGACCCCCGGCTCACCTGTTGATTTCGGCGAGGAAGCTGTACTTGCCCTCCGGCGAGCCGTCGGTCAGCTCCACCGGGGTCTCCTCGACGGCGTAGTCAAGCGTCGGACGTGCCTCCAGGTCCAGCGGCGCGCGGCCCGACTCGGTCAGCTGCTGCAGGTACTTCTCCGCCTTCGTCACCATCACCTTGCGCTCCCAGCCTGCGCACGTGCGATGGGGCTCCTCAGAGCGACGGAAGCGAGGCGGGTGCTCCTCAGAGCGACGGGAGAGATGCGGAGGCCCCTCAGAGCGACAAAAGCGAGGCGAGGGCTCCTCAGAGCGACCGGAGCGAGGCGGGTGCTCCTCAGAGCGACGGGAGAGATACGGAGGCCCCTCAGAGCGACAAAAGTGAGGCGAGGGCTCCTCAGAGCGACGGGAGCGATGTGGGGCTCCTTAGAGCGACGAGCGCGCTGCGGATAGGAAATGGGGATGGGGGTGGGGAAGGTAATAGGAGTGGAGGTTGGTTGGGAGTGGGAGTGAAGCTGGGGTGGCGTTTAGAGTGGGGTGGGGCGATCATACAACGTTCCGAACGCTTAACTGTTGCGCAAGGGTGCGTGAGGAGATCGCTGGGAATGGTGCCCTGCATCGGGTGAAAATGCATGATCGCGCCCTCAACGAACAGGAATATGGGATAACATTTAAAAGTTGTCGCTCCCACACAAGAGCATCGAGCCGGCTTCATCTGGAATACGGCAGTGTCGTGCCGCGCTCGTTCAGACGGCGGCGCTCTCAGCTGGGCAACTGAGGAGTCGGTAATCCCGGTCAGCTGTTAGCCCAGCGTCGGGCTGCTGCCCGATTAGCCCAGAAAGTCCCCCACCCACAGGGCGCCCGCGCAGGACGAGACGGCGCACATGTTCCTCACTCGGCACCAGCGGATGATCTCACCCCCTCACGGGGCGCCGAGGGTGATGACCCACAACATCCGGCCCCGGTAGGCACGCGGAGCCAGCCAAGGATTGGGGGCGGAGGTCAGTGACCTGGCGACGGCTCAGGTGGGCGTGAGTGGGCGCTCCTCTGCCCCGAGCGTCACAAGCCGAAGGGATTAACTGCTATGTGGATCAGACCGGTTAGAAGCCGCCCGGGTTTACCTCTCGGAGTGGCAAAGGCTAAGCAGCCTTACCTCTGCCTCTGGCCAAAAGTCTTTAGTGACTGTGAACATGGTCATCATCGCCTTACAAAGGCGCCTGCGGAAGGACTTGGGGATTCCCGACTCACCGAGTTTACGCGTGCGCACGGTCGGGCTGGGCACGCTGTAAGGCCCCCAGCCGAACTTGTTGTACGCCCTCAGGTGGAAGTGGTAGTTGCTCTCCGGCGTCAGGCCGCGCACGCAGAAGAACTCGTGGTCGATATTGTTGGCGACGTCCGTCCACTCGTGGTCCACTGGGCACAGACGCGTACTCATCAACAGCTGACGAAATGGCGGCATCCGTCTCTAATGGGAACAGTCACCGCACGGCGCACGCCACTGAGGCCCGATTTGCAAACATTCTAACAGTGTACGGCGCACAGCAGACCCCTACAGTATTCACGTAGTAAAATCGACTTGGTCTGTCAGCTGACGGCACGGACCGTTTCGGACGAGCTCAGTACAATCGGTCGGCTAGATCGCGGAGCGTTTGCATATGTCCGTCACATGTGTCGTAAAATCGAGATATGTGGTCCAAACAGCCACAGAATGTGTTGCAGTGCTGCTAGGCAGCGTATCGCTTATGCAACCAATATCCTACGGGAGCACAGAGATACGGCGGTACTTGCCAAACGTTACCCAAAAAAACATGGCAATCAACAGTGATCACTACGGTCCGTTTGGGACACGCTCTCCCACGCCGAACGCCTTTGAAGGTCGCAAAACATTGCCCGCAGCAAGTTTCAAACCCACACCTCCTCAAAGCCCAAACTCCTACTCCGATACGCGCGCTCTGCCGACGTCCTCCGGCTTATCCGGACCGAGGTCACTCACACGTCTGCTTGACCTGCAGGCCGTAGGCGAGGATGGGAGTGTGGCCAGAGTCCTGCGGGATTTTCCAGCGGAGCATAACCTCCGTGTCCGAGTACTCCACCGGCTCCGGCATGTCCACCAGGCCCGGCACCGAGCCCACGAACAGGCTGTGGAGACGGGTCACAGGACAGGGGTCAGTTCAGCACCAGGTCCGGTACTGAGCCCACAAACAGGCTGTGGAGACGGGTCACAGGACAGGGGTCAGCTCAGCACCAGGTCCGGCACGGAGCCCACGAACAGGCTGTGGAGACGGGTCACAAGACAGGGGTCAGTTCAGCACCAGGCCCGGCACGGAGCCCACGAACAGACTGTGGAGACGGGTCACAAGACAGGGGTCAGCTCAGCACCAGGCCCGGCACGGAGCCCACGAACAGACTGCGGAGACGGGTCACAAGACAGGGGTCAGTTCGGCACCAGGCCCGGCACGGAGCCCACGAACAGACTGTGTGGACGGGTCACAAGACAGGGGCCTTTTCAACAGACCGGCATTGAGTTCTTGAACACACCGTGGAGACAGCGCACAAAACAAGCGTTGATCCACCAGACGCACAAAATCCACGAAAAATCTGCCCAGGCAAGCTGTTAGAGAGAGACACGGGTCATACAGCTCACTCTGTGCCATAACCTTGAATGCGCCCACACTTTCAATCTAGCAGACTTAGATGGAACTATAGTCGGGCCAGCCGAACAGATAACACTAGAACATGCTGTTTCTAGCCGAACCCATCGGGATTCATTATCCACCTTTTAATTACTTGATACCGCTGGCTTACGTCATAAACGGGTACATAACGATGTCCGAGGCGGGACAGAGTGAAAGTATACTGTCAGACCTGAAATCTTTTATTCAGCAGGTCCCACGCAGATGGGGGACGGCATCTCATTAAATCACCTGCTCTCCATAATAAGCAAGCTAAAATGGACGCAGCTGGCAGCGATCACAGCGCTGGCAGACGGCGGGGCATCGTGCGCTCGCTTACTTGTGACGTTAAAATACGGGCCGACGCATCATCTGTCCGCGCATCTCTAGGACGGCAGAGTACAAGCTTAATACTCCATCGGCGGCGTTCGCTGCTGAGCGGCATGAGCTGAATCCGGTAATGCCGCCCTTAACACCGTCCGACGGCGGCGTGCACCCCTCACCGGCACTTGGTGACGGTCTGGCCGACGCTGTTGCGCGCCACCACCTTGTAGACGCCCTGGTCGAAGTCCATCGCCGGCTCGAAGCGCAGCCGCGACCGGCCGTTGTCCTCCTCCACCATCTTGATCCGCTTCGTCTCGCCGATCACGATGTCATTTCTGTCGAAGCGGACGGGGTTGTTGCTGACGTGGCACGTATGTGGACAAGGCGAGATCGCTAGGTCAGGGTGCAGGATTACCATGCGCTGCGCGTCGCAGATAAGCTACTTTTGTGCTTGACAGTGGCTCACGATATAGCTCATATGGAACGGGCATCGCTGGAGAGCAGCCGGGGATGCAACTGGGGGGAGAGGGAACAGCTGGGAGGGAGGGGGGGGGGGGGGGGGGGGTAGAGGGAGCAGCTGGGGAAGGAGCAGCTGGTGATGGTGAGGCAGGTAGGGTCTCACCTGAACCATTGCACGATTGGCTTGGGCTCTCCGACGGCCATGCAGGAGATCTCGCACGGCGTCCCCTCCTGGATGGCCGTGTCCGACGGCTTCTCGCGGAAGAACGGGAACTGCGGGATAACGGCGACCACCGTCAGCGTACCAAAGACGAGCATTTCTACGGAACTAGCGAAGACAAAGGACCTTCAGGAAGTCGAGTAAGCAAGGTAAAGTGTAGCGAAGTAAAAGCGCTAAGTATGCAAATGTAGAACAGCACACAAGCCACGCTGGCGATTTTAAACAACAGCCGCTTACCACAAAATGACACAGTACGCAGTCCTGAAAACCACGGAACGTGAGTCAGGAACATCTCTTATCTGTCCGAAGAGTCGCTCAAAGACCACCAACTACAACCATGGGCACTGCCTCCCATTCCAGACCGCGGTCCGCCAGACCCGCCGGGCGCCGCCCGCCTGGCGGCCCACCTGTCCGTCGCGCCGCTGCTCCAGCAGCGTCTCGGCCTCGACGACGGCGTCAGCGCGCGTGCCCATCTCGTAGCGCAGTCGGCGCGGCACGTGCGGCCGCGCCTCGGCGTCGTACTGGCTGATGCGCGTCTTACGCTCGTCGTCGATCTCCTCGTCCATGATGTCGGTGAAGCGGCGCCGCTCGTGCACGATCGGCAGCTGCGGAGGGCCGAGCGGGGTGGTGATGACCGACGGACGGGGCCGGGGCACGCGGGCCAATGGAAAACGGAGACGGTGATGGGGCTGAGTGGTCTCCATGTAGGTAAGAAAGGCCTTCAGCTCTCGATTTTCGGCATTATTGGCGCTCATAATGATAACTGGCCCTCAATACACCATGTGATGGTTAAACGACGTTATCGAGTAGGTGTGGGGGTATTATCTAGCAGGTATATGTGAGTACTATGACAAAACTCCAGACAACCCTGAAATTAAAAACGCTCCAATTATCGCTTAATTTCACCACTTAAGTGATATATCTTAACATGTCGGAAACTTACGTTCGACATAAAAGCTCCTGAAGGCTGAGCCTTCCAGTAGCCCAGGATAGGACAGGCAGGCTTACAAAGCGAAGGAGGGCACACCACCCTCCCTCTAGGGTAAAGTATGAAAAGAATCATGCCGTGAAATGAAGAAATCTGCTTAAAAACGGCACGTGGCCACTGCTTTGGGGAACAGCTGAATACTACCGACATATCTCTGCCGCGCACTGCATCACGCTGGTCGAGGGAAGACTGGTAAATATAACATCGCTAACGCCACCTTTTCAGTGTGTAAGCGCCAGCGCCACCTATATGTCAGGACCTGCCGCGTCACGCCTTGACGCGTAAGGCCCTGGCAGCTTCTGCGTTCAGAAGAACGAACTCTCCACTGCATCCCAATGTCGCAACAGCCGTTTGGTGTGGCATGTTTTGTAATAACAGGCGCGCAATCGCGCTCTCTGGATCGAAAACATCATCTGCAGGACATCGTCTATATGCTAACAGCCGAGCGCAAAACAAAGACGGCGACGTCGGTTTGTAGCAGGCGATAGAACACTTCTTACGTTCGCGCTAGAATGCAGTCAGAAGTGACGCTGGTGTTGATTCAGAGCGCCGTGCCCCCTCCCCGGCCACCCCCAGCGGCTATTTCGGCTCACCGAGCGGTCGAAGAGCGGGTCCTCGCAGCCGCGCCGGGCGTACGACGGTGAGCGCTCGGCCGCCACCTTCATGTACTCGCGCAGACGGGACGGCAGCCCCGTGTCGCGCAGCTGCAGCAGGTACGTGTCCGGACCCTGCTGGTAACTGGAGACGGGCGGCAAGGGGTCAGTGAAACGAACGCGGGTAAGCGTCCGGGCCCTGCTGGTAGCTGGGGACGGACGGCACTGGGTCAGTGAAACGAACGAGGGTACATGCCTGGAAATATGCGAGCTGATCTGATCAGGTACAAGCCTGCAGTATGCGCGGCATGGCTAAGCGAGTGGCTTTCCACGGGAAAAACCACTAGCTCGGGACCGCCAGAGAAGGACGTCCGTGATTCATGCCCGTTACGTCTGCGCGCGAGCTCTGACAACGAAATGTCGTCACTCCCTTTCCACCGTACCAAACGCAACAATTTTCTCTGCCACCTCTGCCACTAACACTGGTGTTCGAAAACCTGTCGTCAATCCTGGGGCGCGGCGGAGTGCTCTTCCTAACTTGTCTCTCCCTCCAAACCCTCTGAATCACTGGCTCCCGGTGCCGACCCAGCCGATCTCCGTACCCCTTCCCTCCTTCCCCTACACTCACTGGCTCTCGGTGCCGACCCAGCCGATCTCTGCACCCTTCCCCTCCTCCCCCACACTCACTGGCTCTCGGTGCCGACCCAGCCGAACTCTGTACCCCTTCCCTCCTCCCCTTACACTCACTGGCCCTCGGTGCCGACCCAGCCGAACTCTGTACCCCTTCCCTCCTCCCCCTACACTCACTAGCCCTCGGTGCCGACCCAGCCGATCTCTGTACCCCTTCCCTCTTCTCCCACACTCACTGGCTCTCTGCACCCCTCCCCCTCCAAATACACTCACTGGCTCTCGGTGCCGACCCAGCCGATCTCTGTTCTACCCCCCTCCCCCCTCCTCTCCTCCCCTACGCTCACAGGCTCCCAGCGCCGACCCAGCCGATCTCTGTACCCCTCCCCCTCCCCCCTACACTCACTGGCTCTCGGTGCCGACCCAGCCGATCTCCGTATCGATGGGCTCGTGCCCGTCGGGTCCGTCCGGTTCCAGGCGCGGCGGCTGCCACTTGACGCGCCGCGTCGGCTCCGGCGACGGCGGCGGCGTGTACACCACGTCCGGCGGGTACACCATGCAGCTCGGGTGCGTGAACGCGGAGCTGAGCGGCCGCCGGCGGAACCACGTGCGGCACGAGGCGTTCCGGTACCAGTCCCTGGCGAGGAGGCGCGCGTCAGCGACGACACAGGGCGCGCGTCAGCGACGGCACAGGGCGCGCGTCAGCGACGGCACAGGGCGCGCGTCAGCGACGGCACAGGGCGCGCGGCACGTGACGGCACAGGGTGCGCGGCACGTGACGGCACAGGGCGCGCGGCACGTGACGGCGCAGGGCGCGAGGCAGGTGACGGCACAGGGCGCGTGGCACGTGACGGCACAGGACGCGCGGCGCGTGACGCGGTACGACGCCGATCCTCGGCAATGAGGTGGCAGGAGCGTGGGGATCGGCGAAGCCAGCACGTGGGATGCGAGGCACGCTGGAGAACAGCTGCGTTCTCGACAGGACTACGGTGCAGTGTTCTCAAACGTATGAAGTCAAATGGTTAGATGCAGTTTTTAGGATGATATGCCAGTTACGCCCCCATGCTTAACCGCAAATATCCGTCACGGGAGAGTAAATGATCGGCAGTGAACACCGTCAGCTATTCGGCGGGCCCACCTGCGGAGGCGGCCGCTCCGATCCCTCCGCGCCCATCCGTCCCTCCAGGTCATCTCACCTGAACTTCTCCAGGTAGATCTTGAGCCGGTCCGTGGAGACGTCCTTGACGGTGGGCGGCGCGTGGTCGGCGAACTTGAGCCAGGGGTGCCTCAGCGCGCTGCGCACGTCCAGGCGCTCGCCAGGCGCGAACACCAGCAGCTTGGCGATGAAGTCCTTAGCCTCCTCCGAGACGCCCGAGAACGCGTCCAGGTCGTAGTCCATCTCGCCGCTCTGGATCTTCTTCAGCGTCTCGCGGTCGTTCTCGCCTCTGGATGACGTAAGGTGGCGGCGTGGGGAACGGTTCGCGAGTGAAAATGTTCTCGAGTGCATTGACAAATCACTGAGGCTTACGACAAATCCCCTCAGCGCGACACCATTCCCCCTACACTCTAGTCCTGCTTTTCATCCCTCAGCGTTGAGCCCAGATTTGAAACAACCGTTATCGGTGACAGCTATTGAAAAGTGCAGTGCTCATGCCTGCATAAAGGAGTCTTCTGCCACCACGTTAAAACCACTTCACTTGTTTTAATTTGCAAATTTGGGTACTAGTATCCATAATTAGACCAGAAACATTATTTTAAACAAGCTGCGAGCCAACAGAAGCCTGCGGCTGAACGGCGTGGCAGCAGCGCAGCTGAGCGGAGCGGCTGACCTGAAGGGCGATATTCCGGACAGCAGGAGGTAGGTGATGACGCCCACCGACCAGATGTCGGCTGGCAGGCCCACGCACTCGCTGTTCACGATCTCCGGCGCCACGAACTCCGGCATGCCTGCGAGGTCGACGTGAAATCAGGCATACGTCACATGCGCGACGGGTAGGAACAACATTGTTCAGTGCCGCCAGCACCAACGTATGAAGTGCAATCATCATGTGCAGCATGTTCAATCCGAATCATTTTCGGCTCCCTTGATACAAAATACACATCAGTTGCCTATGCAAAATACACATCAGTATGCCCAGATTCATAAAACTTGACAGATTCAAATTTGATTACATTATTTTGAGATAGTACTCCCGGCCCGCACCAGCATTTTACCCCCGGCTTGGGCTGACGACGTACCGTAGTCGAGCCGCTCTGGCTTCTGCGGGTTGATGTGGCGCGAGTAGCTGAAGTCGATCAGCTTGATCTCGTCGCCGCCGGGCCGGGTGAAGAGGATGTCGCCAGGCTGGGAGCGGGGGCAGCAGGCGCACCGGTCAGCCTCGGCCGCGGCAGCAACAGACCAATCACACCAAAAACACGGGGAAGCGTGCACGCGGTGAGCTTGTGATCTCACCTGACGCACAGTCATCACGCGGTATATGTTTGATTTCACGAGCAAGGGAGGCTGCTAGATCCGTTACGGGGAGATTTCCGCACTACAACTCGCACAAAATGCCAGGGTACTTCTAATGCATAAACAAAAAAACTGCGGGTGCACTGAGCAAGACGCATGATGAATTGTTCAATGACGTCAACAAGACGGAATGTCTTACTAGTCTTCAGCTGTCGAGTTGGAGACTCACGACGAACATAAAGCAGAGAAACATATCCATCAACCTAAAAAAAGAAAAACAGTGGACGAAGCCAACACCCCAAGCGACACACCGCCACGGGTCGCTCGCTGGTCTCCGCCCTCCGCCCGCCCTCACCGTGAGCCCGAGGTGGCCGATGTGCTTGCTGTGCATGTGCTGCAGACCCCAGAGCGTCTGCCGCACGACGCTGGCGATGTCGGCCTCGGTGTAGGTCGGCTGGCGGCAAAGCGCGGGCAGCAGCTCGCCGCCGGCGCACAGCTCCTGCACCAGGATCAGCTGCCGCGGGGACTCGTACGCGTCGTACAGGCGCACCAGGTGGCGGTCGCTCAGCTGGTTCATGATCCACATCTCGTTGTTCATCGCCTGGCGGTGCTCGCCCTTGCCGTTCATGCACTTGGCGGCGAAGTTGCGGCCTGGGGGAGGGCAAGGGGGGGGGGGGCTTCAGGGGCCCGGACAAGCCAACGACACCCTGCCGCGGTGACTAACGACTCGTTAGCTAAGCGAGGAGACAGCGGTGTTCAGGAGTGCGAAGCGCACACAATGCGCCGAGCTTCCTTTTCAGGGGCATGAGTGCCAAATCGTTCCAGCTCACGTACAGACCACCTTGAAACGTCGGCTGAATTCTGAGAAAACGAACAACTCATGACCACGGACCAGTGACGCTATTTCAACCAGGCTGGATCAACCATTGCGCGAGAGCAAGCGCCAATGAGCTTCCTATCCTCAACTGTAAACACAGCGGGGTACTTTAAATAAAACGTCCGCGAGACCTGAGGCAACGCTCCTCGCCAACTTAGCGAGGGACGTTGCTTGAGCAGCAGACTATCAGCCTCCCACAGAAGGCTGGGGGGGGGGGGGGGGAGGGAGGAGGAGGTGATCGCACCGTTGTTGCGCTCCACTACGTGGTAGGTGATGCCCTGAGTGCCGCGGCCCAGCTCGTCGCCCACGTTGTAGAAGTCCTCGAAGGCCTTGGTGCGCGGCCGCACCGAGCGCGCCGGCGAGTACGAGATGTAGTTGTACATGGCCTCGTCGTACTCCACGTGCAGCATCGCCTGAGGAGGGCCGGGGGGGGGGGGGGGCGTCAGTAGCCAGCGACAGACCGGGGGAGAGAACGTGGGGCAACGTAGCGCGAGACGGCGTGCCGGAAGGGAAGCGGCGCCCTAAGACAGCTGCTGACGCCGAGCCACGACGCCCGCCATGACTACGCAACGACAGACAACCCTTGCAAACGCTCCCCACACCAGCCCAGACAGCCGCGACGCAAAAGCGCCACAGCGGCACCCGCCCTTCTAGCGCCTCCCGCTTGGCTCACCGAGGCCGAGGTGGTGCCGGCCACGTTGGTGGCGCTGATGGAGTAGAGTCCGTTGTCGCGCGGCACGCAGCCGTTGATGAGCAGCACGCACGTGTCCGGCTCCTTCCAGTGGATGCGCACGCGGTCGGAGGGCGCCAGCGGCAGCCAGTCCTTGTACCAGCGGATGTCCGGGCGCGGCACGCCTGTCACGCGCGCCTCGAAGCGCGCCTGGTCGCGCTGCATGACGGTCGCCTCCTCCGGTGTGTGCGTGAAGCGGGGGTGCTCGGCCACGTGCAGGGTGACGCGCTGGCGAGCCTCGCCGTGCGGGTTGGAGACGATCGCCTCGTACACGCCCTGGTCGCGCTCCAGCATCCTGGCGACGGGAGGGCGCGGTCAGGCAGGGTGCGGCGCTCGCGGGGGGGGGGGGGGGGGGGGCAGCGGAAGACGCGACAGACACGACAGGCAGCCGTGGCAGAGGCAGCTGTGGACAGCGTGGACTTCCGCTGCGGCGGCAGCGGATCGGTAGGTAATTACACACGGAAGTCAGCCGCACAGACAGCACCAAACCGGCAGGCCATTTGACGGCGAGACCGGCGCGCGCATGTGGTCTCTCCGCTAGAATGTGAACAGGAGGGAATCGAACGGCCACACCGTCCGACCTCACGCTAACAGGACGTCAAAGGGTGTGGATCACGCTCCGAGCCCATCATAGCTCCACGCCCAAAACACTACCAAACGCCCACTTTTTAACAATATCCTTCCCGCCCCAGAAACAGTCGGCCAGCAGCGCACTTCATCTCCAACACATCATTCACCCAGTGTCCAGCTCTCCGGGAGTTTCCCGGCCGGTGCACTCACTTGTTGACGAAGAGCGTGAGCTCGCCGGCGCGCGTGAAGCTGTGGCTGTACCGGCCGCCCATCTCTATGTCCGTGCCGTTGAAGGTGAAGCGCACATCGGGCATGGGGTGGCCGTACACGAACCACTTGAGGTCGGCGCCGTGGCCCTTCACGCCGTACTGCGTGCCGCGCTCCTGGCGCAGGAACCTGGACGAGTCGACGGCTGTTAGGGGCCCGTTCGGCAGCGTCGGTGCCGCACGACGGGGGTCACCGAGCGGGCACTCGGGCACGACAAGGGCGCGACATCTGGATCGAGCACGAGCAGGCTTACGTTTGTGGGGCGCAAGTTCACACCGTGTCGGTACAGTTAGAGTCGGAGGTGAAACGTGGGGTAGAAATTCGTCGCATTGCTGTGAGGTAGAAACGTGTTCTGTCTAGTCACGTATCATCGAACGCTCGCAACTACAGAGGCCACCCGCTCAGCTATTCCAGTATCAGCCGCTGTCTACACACGACAAGCGCAGCATCTCCTCGCACAGCTCTTATACGTACGATCAGAGACACCTGCCACACGATACTCGCCGACTAGAGCGGACTACCAAACGCTGGGCGTGCCACCAAGAAGCAGAGCAAGTCACGGTAAGTACGCTCCACTAGAGCGCAGCAGAAGCGGGGAAGGCGCGCTCACAACACCGACCATTGCCGAGCCCGACAGCACCTGACGGCCGCTACCTACTGCGCTAGAACCGAGACGCCAACAGTCAGAAGCAGACACTCCCCCGTACAACTCAGGTGGACACACAGAAGACCGGGGAGAACGCTGCCGCCTAGGTGCCAGTCGGGCGTAGAATGCGAGCGACGACAGCAGAGCTCCAGCCTCGCCGAAGCTCTGCAGGACCTGAAGCCATGCTGAAGAGCGAAGCGAACAAAACACGGCGGAAGCGGGAAGCTGCAGCGAACGGCACCATTGCTCGTACCTCGTGGCAGCTGGAGAGAAAAGAATGAGGGCAGACTGCCGCCGACCAGAGCCGAACGGCAGAATCGGCTGGGCGGGCCGGTCAAGCACGCCAGAATCGGGCGCCAGACACGCAACGACGAGCGGAGGCGTTCACAAATCCGGGCCGAGGTTTATTCACAGAGCGTTGTGAGTCGGTGTTAGTAGTGAGGCACGCAAACACGCAGGCCGCGACCAGGCACGCGGGAAGGGGTTTGAAACAGCAGAACGACTTCCAACGGTGCCAGATTATCAACGGAGACATCACACGACGTTAACCCCACCTCCCATGAATTCAATAAAGAACTTCTACACGTTGACAGTGGGCCAGAGCTTTGTTAGAACTATTTGACGCGTCATGCTCAGGAAAGAAGACGACGACAGAAGTCTGGAGTCTATCGAAGATTGCATTGTAGCGCATTGCAAAAGAACACCTCACGCACGCTAAAACGAGCTCCATTTTCATCCACAACAGAAAGGAGTGTTCTCATGGGTAAGGACATTGTTTGACATTGTGTAAAGGCATCTAACTCGTCGCACTCAGAAAAGAAGACGGCACAAACCCGGAAACTATCTAAGATTGCATTGTAGCGCATTGCAAAGGAACACCCACACGTATGCCAAAACGAACTCCATTCACACCACACAAGTGCTCCGACGAGAGCACGGACACCAGACTGCCAGCCCCTTTCCGCCTAGTGGCCATCCTCCCACACCCTAGCCAACGCTCCCGGAGGCGTCGCAGCGCGCCGCCCTCGCCAGCGCCGCCGCTCAGTCGTGGTCCATGAACCTGCTCTCCCAGGCGTCGATGTCGCAGCAGCCGCGCAGGGCCGCGCCCCCGTGCGTCACCATCTTCTCGAACTCGCCCTCCCAGTCGCGACGCGGAGAGAGACGCTCCTCGGCGCGCGGCACCGGCGCGTCCACCTCCTCGTTGGTGATCTCGGAGAGCGCGCGGCGTCGGCGACGCACCGTCTCCAGGTGGCGCGCGGCGCGCGCCGCCCGCGCCGGCCGCAACGAGCCGTGCAGGCCGGCGCAGCGCTCGGCGAGCCGACCGGCCTCCTCCACCTGGCGCCGCACCAGCAGCCGCTCCACCACGTGCGAGACGGGCCCGACGTCGGCCGGCGCGCGGCGGCCGCCGTCCGGCGCGTCGGCGGCGCGCGCCGGCCGCGGTGCGCGCTCCTCGCCCGGCTCGACGGCGCGGTAGTGGCGCCGCACGGCCGTGCCGTACTGCAGGCTCAGCGGAGAGCTGTCGCGGCGGCGAGGCGGGTCAGGGGGTCGGCGGGAGGGTCAGGGGCCGGCGGACCGGGGCGCGGGCGCAGGCGGTGGTTCGGACAACGGACCAGTTAGTGGTCACACCATGTTACACGATGCAGTTAATAAAATATGCCTTGGTAAAATTGGCGAAACATTGTCAGTTCATGTCACACTATTAGGGCACATTCATACCCAAATTGCACACCTTACGTCGGATCATTAGGGCTTTCATTAAACAGGTACCGGACAGCTCACGCCAAGCAATTAAAACCTGTCATTGAACAAACATAAAAAGACGAACCCGTTAGAAAATTAGACAACCATCTTTCGTCAAAAACAAATACGTGACGTCATTCAAAGACGTTCTCCACGCAGCATGCCGCACACGGAGGTTAGGTGATGTCACACCGTGACTTACGTGGGCGGATGGGCGCGCCCTCCTGCCCACTTCTCCATGTCGAAGTCGCGCGGGAAGTAGGAGGAGATGTCCGGCTTGAACTGCTCGCCGTCGGGCAGGTAGGGGCCCGACTCCGGCGGCTCGGGCACCAGCCGCTCCCTGTCAGGGGAGGGGGCGTCAGAGGCCGGGCAGGTAGGGGCCCGACTCCGGCGGCTCGGGCACCAGCCGCTCTCTGTCAGGGGGAGGGGGTGTCAGAGGCCGGGCAGGTAGGGGCCCGACTCCGGCGGCTCGGGCACCAGCCGCTCTCTGTCAGGGGGAGGGGGCGTCAGAGGCCGGGCGGGTAGGGACCCGACTCCGGCGCCACGGGCACCAGCCGCTCTCTGTCAGGGGGAGGGGGTGTCAGAGGCCGGGCAGGTAGGGGCCCGACTCCGGCGGCTCGGGTACCAGCCGCTCTCTGCCAGGGGGAGGGGAGGAGGCGTCAGAGGCCGGGCAGGTACTGGCCCGACTCCAGCGACTCGGGCACCAGCCGCTCTCTGTCAGGGGGAGGGGGTGTCAGAGGCCGGGCGGGTACGAGCCCGACGTTGGCGGCTTGGGTACCAGCCGCTCTCTGCCAGGGGGAGGGGAGGGGGCGTCAGGGGCCGGGCAGGTAGGGGCCCGACTCCGGCGGCTCGGGTACCAGCCGCTCTCTGCCAGGGGTAGGGAGAGAGGGCGTCAGAGGCCGGGTATGTACGGGCCCGACCCCGCCGGCTCGGGTATCAGCCGCTCACTACCCGGAGGAGGGGGAGGGGGTGTCAGAGGCCGGGCGGGTACGAGCCCGACTCCGGCGGCTCGGGCACCAGCCGCTCTCTGCCAGGGGACGGGGCGTCAGAGACCGGGACAGCTACTGCCCGGGCGGGCGATGGTAGAGCTGTCTCTCTCCACACCGACGCACATTACGGAAACTGCGTCCACCTTTTGCAGCGCATAGCCCCTGTCATGTCCACGGCGCGCGGGTGATGCAGTTCGGGCACGATTTCCAACAGATTGTGGCTACGGTCTCGGTGCAGTTCTCAACGCGGACGATGAGCCATCCAGCGTGGTGTTCCCGATGTTAACCAGTGGGCGGGCACGTACGTTCACAGACGTCACACCTCGTCCGGGTGGCGATCGATCAGACTCACCTCTGCGTGGTGATGTGAGGCGAAGGCTCGCTCACGCCGTACTTGTTCTCCACCTTGATGCGGAACTTGTAGTCGCGGTGGGGCTCCAGATTGCGGATCTCGACCGAGCACCCGCGCACACCTGAACGACGATGTCGTGGTTAGCAGGAGCACTTGTCGCCACGGGTCGAGGGACACGTGGTTGCAGACGATTTGCGAGGAACATCTCGTTCGTTGCAGACGGTTGCAGGTTGCAGACCTCGCTCATTGCTTGGCTGCAGACGTCATGCGAGGAACACTTCGCCTCCTTCATATCGCGGGGGCAGTGCCACACTTAAAGCGAAGTAGCGTCCGGAAATGGTGGGATAAATATGCTGTGTCTATTCGTGATGCCGGGAAGGCGATCCCCACAGTCCTTACGCAACGGCTGGTGTCGGTCACAAATCCCAACGGTAGCCAGCGCCGGTGCCGTCAATGGAGGACGTCACTACGAGAGCACCGCCGGCGCCGCCTCGTGCCCACCTGAACGGACGGTAAACCAATCTCCGCGCGGCACCTCCGCCATCTCCACGTGATAGGTGACGGGGATCCTCTGGCCGGCGGTCGGTGACGGCCGCCACGACAGCGTCAGCTGACGGTCCGTCATCCTGGCGGCGGAGCGGGCCGTCAGACGTCATCACCAGACGTGGCGCTGGCACCAGCGTCACCGTCGCCGTCACAGTTACGGCAGGAGGTGGTGGTAATGCGTTGTGGGACGCCAGGTGGGAACCAGTCGCTGTAGGGGTGTTGACAGCAAATCCTGGCATGGATATAGATGATGTAGCGAAACGGGCATTGACTCTTGTGTAGGCTCTGTGACCACGGTGCGCTTTCGGCGATTTTGCAAACCCTGAGGCCAGGCAACTCGGTGTGCACTCGGCACTCAGCGTGTACTCGCCGACTTGGTGCGTACTCGGCACTCGGTGTGTACTCGGTACTCAGTATGCAATCGGCACTCGGTGTGTACTTGTCAGACCGCAGGTGAGAACGTCGGTAGGCGGGTATGGATCACACACCGACACAGGAAAAGCGGCAGCTGCGCCCCGATCCCATCCAACACCAGCGAGAGATACGCCACTCCCAGAAATACGCAAGCGGTCGCACCTCGAACGGTCACGCAGCCAGGCAGCCTCGGAAAAAAACGTCGCGCTGGCCGGCAGTGACGGCAAAAGATCATATCCGCTGACATCGCAGAGGATATGACTGGGCGGTTGGATAGTGAGTCGCTGCTGCCCTGGATATGACGGGAAATAACGCCATTGGTCATTTGGCTGACCCGGATATGACGGTACCGAGCTGACCAGGATATGACGGGAGCGAGCTGAATTGGATATGACGGGAGCGAGCTGACCTGTATATGACGGGAGCGAGCTAACCCGGATGACAGGACCGAGCTGACCTGGATATTACGGGAGCGAGCTGAACCGGATATGATGGTACCGAGCTGACCTCGATATGACGGGAGCGAGCTGATCTGGATATGACGGACGCGAGCTGACCTGGATATGATGGGTCGATCCGAGAGCGGCATGGGCACACCAGACTTGAGCTGCTGCTCCAGGGCGCCGTATTGGTCCTTCAGGTTCTTGGACGGCCCGCTGTCGAAGGCTGCGAACGGTCCGGACGGCGTCACCGCCGGTACAAATACTGGGCACAGCGAGAGGGACACCGAGCCGGCCAAGGCAGCGCAACATGGAACCCCTGGGCGGAATGATGTTGACGTTGTGTAGCACAGTTCAAGAGGCGACAGAGCGTAATGAGAATACGACACAGCGGGGCACTGAGAGATTCACGCCCCGGTACTCCTGCGGAAAACGCACGAACCGGACAACGGCAGGGGGCAAACAAAAAACTCCTTAGCAGACACACTGGCAACATCTTATTCGCCTCCCTCCCATCTGAAAATACCGCGCCTGCGACCTCTCGGAAGAAGGGAGGGGGGGGGGGGGGGCACGCACTGTCGTAGGAGAGCTCGGATTCGCAGGCAGCCTCGCCGTGCGTGTTGAAGATCTTCAGCTTGTAGCGGCCGGCGTCGCCCTCGTCGGCGTGTTTGATGATGAGCCGGATCAGACCGGATCCGTCCGCTTCCATCAGGATACGGTCACTGGGAACCGGAACGGTGGCTGAGGGGCCGAGTCGCCCTCCAGCAATAGCCCGGGCCGAACCACCCCACCGGATTACACGGTGAGGTCCCAGCCATTTATCGCTACGCACAATCAGGACACTATCAGTAAATGCGATATCATGGAAAACACCTGCCTCCAAAACTTGCACATCAGTAACACAGCGTTTTACATCATCACCTAAGACAATCTTGCCTGCTGAAAGCACAGCTGGAAATGCCCACGAAATAGCAGCAGCCGGCAGTTAGTGTCAGTCTAAGCACGTCGCGCAGCGGGGCGTGTTCGAGGCGGCCGGCGCCGGCGCCGCGCGTACCTGGGGTACATGCGCATGTCGTCCCTGTACCACTCGAAGTCGGGCTCGGGCGTGCCGGCCACGCAGGCCGTGAACTTGCCCTGCATGCCGGGGAACACCTCGCAGTCGCCGATCGTCTTCAGGAAGTAGGGCGGCTCCGGCTTCGGCCGGCGCACACTGCCCGGGACGGAGCCGGCCGTCAGAACGGCAGGAAATGGTGACGGGGGAGGGGGGATGCCACGATAGAGCCCCGGTGCAAATGACAGTGGCAATCAAACAATCTTGACAGGAATGCCTGCAGATTGCTAAGGGAAATTTACGCAGTGTGGCCGCGAGCGAGATTACAAAGATCAGATACAAGACTGGAAAAACGGTAACCATTCAACGACTGCGAGCAGTTAGATCGAGCACAAGGCATTTCTGTTCATCGGCGATGTTTTTGTCAGCGCCCATGTGTCCAAACGAAGACTACCCACTACCCACCACCAAGCGGTACCTTCACAGCCTTAACCCACTGCTGGTCTCCCGCACGATCGAGTGGGGTGTCACGCAGCCTACCACTGAACCCACTTCCACCGAGCGTGCGCAACCCGGCAGGGGCCGCTCCCCGCCGTCGCCACCCACTCACATGTGGTCCACCACCTCGAGGGTGGCGGAGCACTTGGCCGAGCCGTCGGCGTTGCTGGCGACGCAGCTGTAGACGCCGGCGTCCTCGGGCGTGCAGTCCAGCACGTACAGCGCGCACATGTCGGCGTCGCGCTTCACCTTGTACTTGGCCGACGGCCGCAACGGCTTGTCGTTGAAGAACCACTCGACGTCCGGCCGCGGGATGCCGATTACACGGCCCATGAACTTGGCGTCGTACTTGGGCATCTGCGGAGGGGCGGGAGCGGTGCGGTGACGGCGCAGCGTAGGGACAGGGAGCAGTGCGGTGACGGCGCGGCGCAGAGGCGGGGAGCGGTGCCGTGACGGCGCGGCGTGGGGGCAGGGAGCGGTGCCGTGACGGCGCAGCGCAGGGACGGGGAGCAGTGCAGTGACGGCGCAGTGCAGATCGGCCGACAGCGGTGCCGTGTACGCCGGCGCTTGGCAAACAGCTCAAGTCCTCTCCCGCTTCCGCACTTGCCCGTTCTAACTGTTTTGGTGTACGTTACCACGGACTGAATTGGAGATCCACAAGCCTTCGGATGCTACAGATAGCGCAGAAAGAATCCAACGATGTATGCCAGCGCGAAAACCACACATTTTTAACAGTCACGATTTGGAAAAATCCGTCATGACGCAGGCGCACGGCGTCAGGCACATATGCAAGGCAAACTGCTTCCACTGACAGACTACAACGTCGGATCCGCAGACTGCAGGCCGCGTCCACCACCAGTCAGTCCCCACAGACCAGTCATCCCCCACAGACCCGTCCCCGACCCCAGCGTGACCGCCGCCGCGGCTGACCTGCTGCAGGTCGGTGATCTTCTGCGGGAAGTGCGGCGCCACGTAGGTCTTCTTGACGCGGACGTCGGCGGCCGAGTCGGCCTGCCCCCGCGGGCTCGTCAGCACCACGCGGTACTTGCCGGCGTCGGCCACCCGGGCCGGCCGCAGCATCAGCGTCAGCTGTGAGCCGAGGGCAAGGGCGAGGTCAGAGGTCAGGGGTCAGACGTCAGTGGTCAGCGATCAGTGGCTAGCGATCAGTGGCCAGCGGTCAGCGGTCAGAGGTCGGAGGTCAGCGGTCAGAGATCAGAGATCAGCGGTCAGCGGTCAGAGATCAGCGGTCAGACGTCAGCGATCAGTGGTCAGCGGCTAGGGGTCAGCGGTCAGCTCAGGGGTCAGAGATCAGCGGTCAGCGGTCAGCGGGCGCTGGTGGCGCTGAGAGTGACGTGCCCGATCGCTAACCGCTCCGAGCGATTCCGAACACGACGGCGCTTACTCGTGATGGTCTGATTCCCCATGCGTAACGTTAGCCCGTCGTTACAAGACAAGATTTCATGTTCCGTCAAGCATCTGCTGTGAGGTGTTGTATGAGACTAACCCACAGTGCTGTCTGTCGTCCTTCCCATCCCCCAGCGTAGTCAGCTGTGTGATGATTACGATCCATGAAAATCAGCCCAAATCAACCCATGTCCTATTCACTAAAGCTTCAAAATCAGCCCAAGCCCAGTCTTATGCTTGGCTGGTCTCTCGCCGATCCCTGTTTCCACCGACACGCTGTCTCCGCGACGGACGCCGTCTGACATCCCCCTCCTGCCCCCCCCCCCCCCCCCCCCGGACGGCAGTTCCACCTGCCCACCTTGTCGCCGTCGTAGCTGGTGAAGAGCCGCTCGTGACGGGGCAGCGGCTCGCCGTCACGTGTCCATGTGACGTCCGGCAGCGGGTTGCCCGTCACGTCGGCCGTCAGCAGCAGCACGCTGCCCTCATTCACCTCCGAGTCCCGCAGCGGACAGGTGAAGGCGGGCGCGCTGTCCTCGCCCGGCCGCTGCTTGCCTGCAGGGGATGGGGCGGCGGGCGGTCAGAAAGGCGGGGCAGTAGGTCAGAGGGGCGGAACGGCGGGCCATCTGACGGGAGGGGGAGGGCAGCGGGCGGTCAGAAGGGCGGGGCAGTAGGTCAGAGGGGCGGAACGGCGGGCCATCTGACAGGAGGGGGAGGGCAGCGGGCGGTCAGAAAGGCGGGGCAGTAGGTCAGAGGGGCGGGCAGCAGGCAGTGAGTGGGAATGGAACGGCAGACGCTGAGAGGGAAGAGGTGGTCGGAGGAACTGACCAGTCCATTCGACTCCGATTGCGACGACACGCGTAGTTAACTGGGAGCCACCATGCCACAGGCCGTCCGTTCGTTTAAGGATCGTCACAAACACCCCCAGTCGACACGAGGTTCGAAAGGCAAGCACTGACACCGGTACGACCGTTCGTTACTTTGGTCGGTTAATGGCATCAGCACCTTGAGATTATGCAACTGATAACAAGTTCTGCAGCGGTGCACATACCACTCCCCAGTGACCTCTCTGTCCCCCGGGAATAGCCGGGGAGCCATTCTCGTACAGGATGTCCTTCACCTCGGGTCATCCTCAGAGGCGACCCCGTAATGCTATAAGTCGGCCCGGTTCGGAAGAGAACACGTGTTTGTTCGCAGTAACTGGGGACAATCTCTCTCTCCCATTCCATTCAAACCATTCATACCGCCTTCCCGCGCACGCCCGTGCCCGGGCGCCGGACACCGTACCTATGACGTCGAGCTTGGTCTCCGCCTCGGCCTCGCCCTCGGGGTTGGAGATCTTGGCAGTGTACCGGCCCGAGTCGGCCGGCCGGCAGGCGTCGAACTCGAGCCCGAACGTGCCGTCGGGCAGCAGGTAGGGCCGCACGCCGTCGGCCGGGCTCAACGGCTGGCCGTCCTTGAACCAGGCGACGGTGGGCGGCGGGTATCCCGACACCTTGCCTTCGATGCGCGCCGGGTAGCCCTCCACGGCGCGCACCGGGCGGAACGTGTCTTGCATCAGCGGCTTGCGGTGCGGCGCTGGCGGGGGGGGGGGGGGGGTCAGAGGTCAGAGGGGAGGGGTCTGATGACAGAGCAACCGCCAGCAGTGGACTCCCCGACACCGAGAGATAGGGACTGATGTGGACGCCACAGCCGGCACCACGCGCTGCCACATGTGCAGGTATCTCGGTGAAGTCCACACAACAGTCAGCGCATGCCACGGTGCTCCATATCTGACATTCTTAGCGGTCGCATGGTCAACGAACTTCTGCTTAAAGTAGACATCAGGCTTGGTCATTTAAACAAACGCGCAGAATGGCAAGCAGTGTGTGATGTATTACCGTGGTCACCAGATTTTATGTACAACTTGATTGACTACCGTGGGCAGATATTACCAACCATACAAAATCTAAATGAGCCCAATCATTTCATGTTCAGAAACGTATGGAAATGAAAAAAGACTAAACTGCGCCACCCGTCAATCTGGCGTGTTGCACTCGTGCCTCAACATGGTCCACCGCGAACACGTCTTTCTGAGAGTGGTACAAGGATGATTCCTACAGCCCAGCCCATCCGTATGCGCCGCGCCAACAGCTGTCAGCCACACATGTTGTTCTTCAAGCTAGCCAACCCTTGACCTGGTGCTGATCTAAACGCCATGGCTCGAGGGGGTTATGGCCTCAGCATACCCGCCATATCTAGACCCACATGCAGTCCCCTCAACTTGTCTCTGTTGCACTTGCTAATGTTAGTATTGTTTCCGTGCCCGAAGGAGCAGTTGCATCACCTACGCCAACACAGGTCATGCCCCGTGTCACCGTGTCCTTATTCCAAGACTTCACAGGAACATACAAGGTCATCGGTGAAGAAAGATTGAAGTTAAGATCGCCCAATTCGGCTTTAAACTGTGTGCCATGAATCATCACGCCGAGGCCACCACACCAACGTAAAACTTGCTATTGGCAAAATATCGACAACGCGGGCGTAATCCGCCGGCCGGACAAGCCGATAGGCATTGGCGGGCATCGTCAGGGGGCGCGTTGATGGCCGTCATCATTACACTTGCGAGCACCACATCAGTCCGTGTGTTCAGACCATCCGGCACCAAATCGCTTAAAATGTCCAGCATCATGGTCACTTAAGAATGTACAACCAATAACATCAGATTAGAAAAAATGCAGAAAGCCGCGCCGTCCTGTGGCGTATATGCAGAATCCGTTGCAAAATTGTCACGACTCGATGGAAAAGGCCAGGAGTCGCCCCCCGTATGTGCAAGCCAGGCCGAATTCAGTACAGCCGAAGTTTTTCACAGGCTCCTTGCCAAACTCACCATACGTGACCTTACATGTTGGGCTCAAGAATTCTGCAACCACAGCCAACACACTCACTAGGAATCGAGTACAGTGCCACGGGCTCAGTGCCTGAATGTTTCAAGCCAGTACGAAGACAAAAAAGCAAGACACGATAAGTGGTAGGACACCTTTGGCCATCGGCACGAAGATGCAATGGACGTGAACTGGATGGCATGCAACACAAACACTAGAACTACAGAGCAGACAAAAATATGATAATCTCATCAGTCAATTGCTCGGTGACAAAGAGACTTGAACTTCAAACAAGCGTTTACAGAGACGCCATAATCATGACGTCATGCCTACACACACATGCGAAAATGACGTCAGACACCTGCGCTCGACGGTGACGTCACACTCACGTTCAACGGTGACGTCGGCGTCGATGGAGGCGTCTCCGAGGTCGCTGACGGCGAGCACGGAGTAGGTTCCGGCGTCCTCTGGTCCCGCCTTCTCGATCTCCATGATGGTGGTGCCCTGCGGCGTGGTGGTGATGGAGATGTGTTCGGAGCCGTGCAGCGGGCGTCCGTTCTTCAGCCTGACGACGGAGGGGGGGGGGGGGGGGCAAGCGTGAGAGCGTGACCGGCCGCCGGCTGGCCCGACGCCAGGCGGACCAGGGACGCGGTGGACGTCGCGGGCATGCGCTGCCGGGCCGGCCAGTCGCTCGGGGCGCAGACCGGCACAGTCAACCAGCAATCAGTGTGGGGCGGCTGCACGCTGCCGAGCTCTCGGGACCCTCTCCAGGACAGGACCCCGGCTCCACCGGCGTCCACGCTCGCGCAATGGCAGGCGCGCGGCCGTCGCCGACTTGGACGTGCCAGTTGTGACTGTGTGGATGGTGTCCAACGCACACAGAAACCCTCATCCCAAAAAGTTCACGTGCAAATCACGAACGATCTGTTACAAGTATGAGCAGCATGACCCGTTTGTCAGCCATGATCGCATGCTTCACTGCAGTCAGCCACACACGACCCCACAGTCCGGGTGTCCTCGCCGGCCCGGCGGACCTGAATCCCCACGAAGCGGGCGTGGTGACGCCCACACGAGCCGCCCGCCTCGGACGCACCATTTGAGCACGGGCCGCGGGTAGCCAGTGACCCTGGCCTCCAGCTTGAGCGGCTTGCCCTCGGTGACGGTGACGTCGCCCATGGTCTGGTCGAAGCGTGGCTTCCGCGGCACACCTGGGGAACGCGCGCCGATGATCAGCTGATCAGACGATGGCCGGCAAAGGACTTAAACCAGCAGGAGCGTCAGTCAGGCAGGCCGACTTATTAGTAGGTAGGAAGGATTATTAGTGGGTATTACTTAGTAGGAAACTCGGTAGTTTGGATGCGGTATGCGCTATAACCGAAGCAGACCACGCTATTGGATAGCCAGGACAGAGGTCCTACCACTAAGACAAGGTAACTCCTGCGTTGTTAGCGTTATCAACTCCTGCCTACTTCCTGAGATGAACAAGCCAACAGTTGACTGCATATCGTTTGCTTTCACACGTCTCGATTTCTCCAGTTTCCGGGGACACAGCTGGCAATGGGGCCCATCCCTTACCCTCCCCCCCCCCCCCTCCCGCACCCAAAGTTACGTCACCTAACCCAGATCCGCCACCTGCTGTCCCGCTGGTGGCGGATCTGGGTTAACCCGCTGCCCCTAACTGCCCCTAACCCGCCACCTAACCGTCCCGCCAGACCCCGTCACGTGACGTGCCGGCCGCCCGGCCGGCTGGCGCTCACGGTCCACGGTGACGGCCGACTCGGTGCTGGCGTCGCCGTTGCCGTTGGAGGCGACCATGCGGTACCGTCCGGCATCCTCCGGCCGGAGGTCCACCACCGTGAGCCGGACCGTGCCGTCGTCCAGCCGCTCCAGCCGCACGCGGTCCGACGGGCCCAGGGGTTCGCCGTCCTTGTACCTGAAGCGGGGTGAAGGGTGTGGATTCTGGGGGCGCACGGCGCGCGCAGGCCACTAAATTGATGGAGGGGGGGGGGGGGGGGTGCACTGGTCACCCACCGCTCCCGGAAGACGCATTCTCAGTCTGCGTGACTGCAGACGGTCTCCACGGGCTGTATGGCTGGGATGTGAACCACTAGATCACTGCACGGCCTCAGACAGCTTTCATCAGCCCCGGCCCACTGTTTTTTGACTAGCAAGAGCGGACAAGACAGCAACGGAGCAATCTCAGCAAGAGTACGATGACCGTTTTATAACGCGCAAGGGAGTTGCGCTACCTTCAAGTAATACTTCTAGCATTTGAGGTGACGCACACCCGCGCGACCAAGCCCAGGCGTAACTCCAGAACGACTTTCATTGCATAGCAGTCCAGACACGGGGGCCGTGTTTGCATAACATTGCAATAACACGGCTCCCGTTCGCCCATTATCGCCCAGGCCGGCCCTCACCAGGTGATCTCCGGCGCCGGGCTTCCGTCGGCCTTGGCCTCCAGCACCAGCGTGTCGCCCTCCTCCTTCTTGGAGAAGGTGGGCAGCCGGGAGCCGATGACGGGCGGCAGCACCTCCTCCGACACCTTGCACGAGCTCTCCGCCGAGCCCACGCAGTTGATGGCCACCACGCGGTACTGCCACACACGGAAGGAGCACTCCATACTGGGACCGCCGGTACCGAGGACCACCCCTCGTCGTGCGGTTCAAGTTCGTGACGGGTCGTGAAAAACTAGCTCATGATTTCTAGCAGGTTGGCGGGCTTCAAGAAAGCGGTGATTACAGCAGAATGTTCCTGACTTACAGCGCCACCCCACTTTCAACAAGCTAATGTAGGGTAGGGGGAATTAACCCTTCCAGTAAAAATGCTTTCGGATCCTACCTAAATGTCCCAACACTTTACAGAGGGTGGATACCAGTTCGTTCCGCCTGTGCGTATTACTTCCGCACACATTCCATTCCATGAGACCGTGCACCGGGCACCTCGCCCCCTCCCCCCTCCAGGCCACGGGAAGACGGTGATGATCCAACACTCCACTCACGGCGCCGTAGTCCGGCGACGTGACCTCGTCCACCTCGAAGCGGAACGTCTGCTCGTCCAGCCGCTGCACCGTCAGCGGCTTGTCGTCCTTGAACCAGGTGACGTCGGGCACCGGCAGGCCAACCACCACCGTCTCCAGCAGCAGCTTCTGACCGAGCCGCGCGCCCGTGTTCAGCAGGCGCTTCTTGAAGGTCGGCACGGCCGCTGTCGGTCGGTCAGCAGCGGTGTCAGGGACGGACACCAGCGCGTGCCATCGCCGGTGTCACGACGGTGTCGAAACATCGCGGTCCATGGAGGTATGTCACGCACCGTTGTTCCTGACAAGTATCAAAACGCCCCGCCCGTATTCGGTCCCACGGCTTAAATATGTGACTTATACCTCATTGCAAAACTCCTGAGATGGTGAAAGGTTTGATACGACGGATCTTATATTCACAGTGAGCGTTAATATAACAATACGTTGATGACAGCTTCACAGGTAGCCGTCTAACAGGCATGTTCATAAGTATCCCTCGTACCGACACTTTCACGCACTCACTCACTCACTCACTCACTCACACATCCCACCATCCAACACCAAAAGCCAACTGAGCACGGGAGAGCCTTCCGCTCCACATCCCCCCCCCCCCATCGGTGCGCCCCGGCCGTCCCGTCACTGACTGCGCAGCAGGAGCACGCCGCTGCCCGTCGTCTCGCCGTGCACGTTGTCGGCCACCACGCTGTAGACGCCGCCGTCCACCATGCCGACCGTCTCCACCGTCAGGGTAGTGCGCGTGCAGTCGGTGTCCGTCTCCACCCGCACGTTGTCTGTCGGCCTCACGTCCACCTTGTCGTGTTGCCTGCCGGTCGGGGGAGGAGGGTGAACGGGGGGTGGGGGGGGGGAAGAGCTGGGGGGAGTGGTCAGCTGGTGTGGTGACGTCACCAGTCGAACACGATGCTCGTCAATAGTCTGCAAGGCATGGTGTTCGCTTCAGCCCGTCAGCGTTGGCATGTGGTGGTAACTTTCCTTACAGTCCCTAGGCTAGTTCACTGGGTCCCTTACGAGAACGATTGTCGTAGGCGACAGTCTTTCCGACAATCGGCAATCACTGGGGGCTCCAGCTCCTGTTCTAGAGAGCGGGAGCTAGCGCCCCAAATTAACGCGGAGCTGCCGACGGGAGGTTGTGACGCTGGCGGCTCGAGGCAGACTCACCACTTGAGCCGGCACTTGGGGTTGGCCTTGACCGTGGCGTGGAAGACGGCCTTCTCGCCGGGGACGACGGCGATCTCGCGCAGGCCTGATATCTCCGGCTTGAAGAGCACCTCCAGACGTGACTGGAGACGCCGCGAAGGACGATGGCGGTCAGAAGCAGCAGCGCACAGCACGGCCGGTCACGTGATCATACTCGCACAACATGGAAGGAGGACTAGTCACTACCAGCAGGCCGACCATTGAGTCGATACCGGTGTTCGTTAGCCACCGTTCGAACGGCTTTACTTATCATTACCTTGAGGGCGCAAAGCGGTCCCAAACAACAAAACCGCCTCGCCGCATTACCGACCGAGCCGAACTCCGACCACTCGTCGGAAACGACAAACCAACAACACAACAGCCCTCGGAAAATGCCCAACCCTCATCGCGCGAGGGCGCGCGGGCAGCGAGGAGAACGACAGGCGGCCACTCACCTCCTCGGAGGCCTCGCCGTGTTCGTTGATGGCCTTGCAGGTGTAGAGGCCCATGTCGTCGTCGGACGTGCGACGGATCTTGAGCGTGTACACGCACGTGTCCACGTCCTGAGTCATCATGATGTTGGTGTCCGGCGCCAGCTCGACACCGTCCTTGTACCTGGGGAGGCAACACGCCCTGGTGTACACGCCTGCTTCAAACGGGCATTTAGCAACCAACACATTTCCAGCAAAGCAAAAAAACTGTCCGGGGCACCTGCGTTTTGACGTTTGCTAACCATTCATAGTGCTTCGTCATGGACAGCTCATTGCGTCACCAGTTACTTGAGATATTGTTTCCCTGCAACGCAGTAACTCCTGGACGTTAAACAGGACTCAGAACGACGGCAATATGAGCAAGAGGGAGATGGCACGCGGTCTGGCGTGCGCCGTGTTTATGTCCACGCACCAGCGGATCTCGGGCTGAGGCTGTCCTCGGATCTCCACGCTCATGACCGTCTCTTCGCCCTTGTGCTTGACGTTGTCCACCAGGTGGGTGAAGAAGTGGGGCTCTTTCAGGTCACTCAGAGCTGTCGGTGAGCACGCCACACATGAATGACACTGACACTGACACATGACACCACCGGCATCACTGGAAAACAATGACATATTCTCCGGGGGGGGGGGGGGATTTCATGAGGTCATGACTCACTGCTTTCCTCACGTAGTAACGGATCAGCTTGGTCATACAAGTTTTTGCGACAGCGACCCAGCAAGCAATGCGCCAAAGAATGGGGCGAGATAACCGTATTCACAGCGCCTATCGCATCGTATCGGGCCAGTAGAAAGCCGATGCGCTCTATATCAATCATCATCCGGGCAACAGACACGTCTTAATATTAGCGCACGCCAGGCCCCATCGTCGCAGAACAGACAACGTGTCGCTACTAGCGACGCACCCAGAGAAAAGTCAACATACTGCCGCAGCTACACGGCATGGCGCAGAAACTCCTTGCAGGAAGAGGCGCACTGTCCCCTTGGTATATCCAACCATCGCTACACGCGACTGCCGGTAATGCCATCTCCCGGCCGACACGACAACCACACGAGTTTGCGCCTGAGCACTCGAGCAGATCCCAGCCTGCAGACCTCCCATAGACTCACGTTTGACGATGAGTTTGCACTGCTCGGTGACCTCGCCCATGCGGTTCTTGAGCGTGAGCCGGTACTGGCCGGCGTCCTCGTACCGGACGCGGGGGGATGATGAGCCGGTACCGGTGGCCGTCCTGCTGGATTACGTAGTTCTCCGACGAGTGAATCTCGTTGCCGTCCATCATCCTGCGGCGGGTGGCGACGTCAAAGAAAGGCAGATGGGGTCACGGAGGAGTGGGCGGGGTCACGGGTGTCACGGAGGAGCGGACGGGGGTAACGTATGTAACGGAGGACCGGACAGGGTACCGGGTGTAACGGAGGACCGGACGGGGTAACGGGTTGTAGCGGAGGAGGGGACGGGTTCACGACCGCAGTGGAGAAACGGACAAGACACGGGTGTCACAGAGGAGGGGACGGGTTCATGGGCGTAGTGGAGAAACGGACGGGGTCACGGGTGTAATGGAGGAGCGAACGGGGTTATGGGTGTAACGGAGGAGAGGACGGGGTCAGGGAGGAGCGGATCGGGTCACGAGTGCTTCATAGTTTGGAATGCCATTCAACGGTTAGAAGCCGCACTGCAATAACCAACCATTGGTTTCTGAGCGTTGTTAATAAACCATGACCACTGTTGGCAAGAAATCCAGCCGGCGATGTGTGAACGCTCGGGCCCAACTTCCAGCCACGGTGGCCATGGGGCCCGACTCACGAATGACGTCAGCAGACCACCTCCGACGACACGAGCCGAGCGAGCACCCGTGACTGCGCAGCGAATGTGGACAACAGAGCGATCGTCTGAGCCGGTTTGCGCCGCTCGTGTCTGCGGCCAGCGTGCGCCTGCTTTTGTGTGTCAGCTCCGCCAGCCGCGGGCGCGAGACTCACCAGTGAGGCTCAGGGATCGGGTTGCCGTAGCCCTGAATGGTGAGGATCTTGTTCTCGGTGATGAAGCAGATGAGATCGGTAAACTTGGTGAGAATCTGCGGCATTGCTGAAAACATACCGGAAACGTTTTACACTCGGATACGCCACATCCGGTTTCGTACGCTCCGGAAACGTTTTACACTCGGAAATGCCACATCCGGTTTCATACGCTCCGGAAACGTTTTACGCTTGGATACGCCACATCCGGTTTCATGACCAAGCAAAAATGTCTCAAAAAGACCCACGATCTCTCGATGCGACATGCAACACACCATGTTTATTACGAGCATTTAAGGAGGCGTGGTCATTCAAGGTGGAAACAATGTTTACTTCGAATGAACTGTTGGTGTAGGGACCGCTCACCTCATCCTTATCCACGGCTGGCGTTGGCTGGCAGATAAATCAATGACGCGGTTAGTCCATACATCACTCCAGCATGCAAAGCAATGTTATAGGAAATAAAGGGTGCCTGTAAAGTTCGCATCGTCAGATAACGGAGCTGGAGGCAAAATCAATCAACTCGCGGACTGACCGTAGTCATAGCAAATCGCTCGTCAGAATTTGCATTAAGAAACCATCGAATCGGTGAGAGTGGCTGCAAATCATAAATTATTTCGCAATTCAAGTGCCTGAGCGGTGATAAAAAGCTAGAGCCATAAACCCGCCGTGTGGCCTGCACCACACACAGCCGGGCCGAAATCAAACGGCGGTGAAGCCCCAAATCGTTAACCACCTCAGGCGGGCGCGAGTGCCCGGCGCTCGAGATGCAGATAGAAGCCGAAGAGATCGCGAGCCGCCCGTCGCGCCGCTCACCTAGCTCGCCCTCAGTGCGGGTCTGCGGCAGCGGCTGCGAGGGCCAGATCGTCACCCACCGGCCGCCGCCCGTCAGCTCGGCCACAATCTCGGCCGGCGTCTTGGGCCGCGAGCGCGTGTTGAGCACGCGACGCGCCGGGGGCGCCCGGAAGCTGTCCGTGTCGAGGTCGGCGAGGCGAAGCTTGCGCAGGCCCGGCGGCGGCCCGGTGCGCCGGCCCCACGGGCTGAACAGGCCGGCGTCCGGCCCGGACGCCAGCACCACGTCCTGCGGCATGCGCCGACCGTGCAGCGTGAACTGCGCCGGCCGCGGCCCGGCCTCCGTCTCCCAGTCGCGGAGCGTCACGTGGCCGAGCAGGCCGCGCTCGCCGGGCGCCGGCGCGCCCTCCGCCGGCGCGCGCCGCCCGTAGATGGCGTAGTCGACGGGCCGGTACTCGCGCGAGCCGGCCTCGGCGCGCTCGTGCAGGATAGCGTGGCCGCAAATGTCGTACTCGGAGGGGCTGACGTCGGGACGCCGGGCCGGGCCGGGCCCCTCCGGCAGTCGGTAGCCGTACACGTCGTACCGCACCAGCGGGTAGTCGGGGCCCTCGTGCCGGACCGTGTCGGGGACGATTATATACCCCAGTATGCTGTACTCGCCAGGAATGTCTTCATATCCAAGACCGCCGTGCGGTATTTTGTAGTCTCCAGGATAGCGGCCCATTCCCTGACCGTCGTGAGGAATTCTTCGGCCATGGATGTCATAGCCTCCGGGACGACGCTCCGGTCCTTTACCATCGTGAGGAACTCTCTGCCCATGGATGTCATAGTCTCCGGGACGACGCTCCGGTCCCTTACCATCGTGAGGAATTCTCTGCCCATGGATGTCATAGTCTCCGGGACGACGCTCCGGTCCTTTACCATCGTGAGGGATTCTCTGCCCATGGATGTCGTAGTCTCCGGGGCGACGCTCCGGTCCTTTGCCATCGTGAGGAATCCTCTGTCCAGGGACGTGGTCCCCGGGACGACGCTCCGGTCCCTTTCCATCCCGCGGCACCCCACCTCTGTCCATATCAAAGCCGTGGGGCTCATAGTCCGGTCCTCGCAGCCCATAGAGCGGGCCGAGGCCGTGCAGATCATAATCGGCCGGCATTTGATCTTTCCCATCGCGGGACGGCTTCCGCCCGAACACGTCGAAGCCTATGCGATGATACTCAGGTTGTTTGCCGCCGTCCATGTAGTCCAGAAGCACATAACCGTAGATGTCATAGTCCGCGGGCTCGACATCCACGCCTATGCGGCCATGTGCCGGCACTGAGCCATGCCCACGGTCAGGAATGTCGTAGCGTCCAACACGGTCCTCCCGTCGCTTGCCAGCCATGGGAAGGTCATAGCCGTAAATATCGTAGCCTGCAGGTCGATGGCCAGGCTGCTTCGCATCGTGAGGAATTCTTCGACCATGGATATCATAGTCTCCGGGGCGACGGTCCGGGTGCTTCGTATCGTGCGGAATTCTATGACCAGGGATGTCATAGTCTCCTGGGCGACGGTCCGGGTGCTTGGTATCGTGCGGAATTCTCCGGCCATGGATATCATAGTCTCCGGGCGACGGTCCGGGTGCTTGGTATCGTGCGGAATTCTCTGGCCATGGATATCATAGTCTCCGGGGCGACGGTCCGGATGCTTGGTATCGTGCGGTATTCTATGACCAGGGATGTCATAGTCTCCTGGGCGACGGTCCGGGTACTTGGTATCGTGCGGAATTATTTGACCATGGATATCATAGTCTCCGGGGCGGCGGTCGGGGTGCCTGGTATCGTGCGGTATTTTATGACCAGGGATGTCATAGTCTCCTGGGCGACGGTCCGGGTGCTTGGTATCGTGCGGAATTCTTTGGCCATGGTTATCATAGTCTCCGGGGCGACGATCCAGGTGCTTGGTCTCGTGCGGAATCCTATGACCAGGGATATCGTAATCCCCTGGGCGATGATCCGGGTGCTTGGTATCGTGCGGAATTCTCTGGCCATGGATATCATAGTCTCCGGGGCGACGATCCGGGTGCTTGGTGTCGTGCGGAATCCTATGGCCAGGGACATCGTAATCCCCTGGGCGACGATCCGGGCGCTTGGTATCGTGCGGAATCCTATGGCCAGGGATATCGTAATCCCCTGGGCGATGATCCGGGTGCTTGGTGTCGTGCGGAATTCTCTGGCCATGGATATCATAGTCTCCGGGGCGACGATCCGGGTGCTTGGTGTCGTGCGGAATCCTATGGCCAGGGATATCGTAATCCCCTGGGCGACGATCCGTGCGCTTGGTGTCGTGCGGAATCCTATGGCCAGGGATATCGTAATCCCCTGGGCGATGATCCGGGTGCTTGGTGTCGTGCGGAATTCTCTGGCCATGGATATCATAGTCTCCGGGGCGACGATCCGGGTGCTTCGTATCGTGCGGAATCTTATGACCAGGTATATCGTAATCCCCTGGGCGATGATCCGGGTGTTTGGTATCGTGCGGAAGCTTATGACCAGGGATATCGTAATCCCCTGGGCGATGATCCGGGTGCTTGGTGTCGTGCGGAATTCTCTGGCCATGGATATCATAGTCTCCGGGGCGACGATCCGGGTGCTTGGTGTCGTGCGGAATTCTCTGGCCATGGATATCATAGTCTCTGGGGCGACGATCCGGGTGCTTCGTATCGTGCGGAATCTTATGACCAGGTATATCGTAATCCCCTGGGCGATGATCCGGGGTGTTTGGTATCGTGCGGAAGCTTATGACCAGGGATATCGTAATCCCCTGGGCGATGATCCGGGTGCTGGTATCGTGCGGAATTCTCTGGCCGTGGATATCATAGTCTCCGGGGCGATGATCAGGGTGCTTCGTATCGTGCGGAATCTTATGACCAGGGATATCGTAATCCCCTGGGCGATAATCCGGGTGCTTGGTATCGTGCGGAATTCTCTGGCCATGGATGTCGTAGTCTCCGGGGCGATGATCAGGGTGCTTCGTATCGTGCGGAATCTTATGACCAGGGATATCGTAATCCCCTGGGCGATGATCCGGGTGCTTGGTATCGTGCGGAATTCTCTGGCCATGGATATCATAGTCTCCGGGCGATGATCTGGGTGCTTAGTGTCGTGCGGAATTCTCTGGCCGTGGATATCATAGTCTCCGGGGCGATGATCAGGGTGCTTGGTATCGTGCGGAATCTTATGACCGGGGATATCGTAATCCCCTGGGCGATGATCCGGGTGCTTGGTATCTTGCGGAATCCTATGGCCAGGGATATCGTAATCCCCTGGGCGATGATCCGGGTGCTTGGTGTCGTGCGGAATTCTCTGGCCGTGGATATCATAGTCTCCGGGGCGATGATCAGGGTACTTCGTATCGTGCGGAATCTTATGACCAGGGATATCGTAATCCCCTGGGCGATGATCCGGGTGCTTGGTATCGTGCGGAATTCTCTGGCCATGGATATCATAGTCTCCGGGGCGATGATCAGGGTGCTTCGTATCGTGCGGAATCTTATGGCCAGGGATATCGTAATCCCCTGGGCGATGATCCGGGTGCTTGGTATCGTGCGGAATTCTCTGCCCATGGATATCATAGTCTCCGGGGCGATGATCTGGGTGCTTCGTATCGTGCGGAATCTTATGACCAGGGATATCGTAATCCCCTGGGCGATGATCCGGGTGCTTGGTATCGTGCGGAATCTTATGACCAGGGATATCGTAATCCCCCGGGCGATGATCCGGGTGCTTGGCATCGTGCGGAATTCTCTGGCCATGGATATCATAGTCTCCGGGGCGATGATCCGGATGCTTCGTATCGTGCGGAATCTTATGACCAGGGACATCATAGTCCCCGGGGCGATGATCCGGGTGCCTGGTATCGTGCGGAACCTTATGACCAGGGATATCGTAATCCCCTGGGCGATGATCAGGGTGCTTCGTATCATGCGGAATCTTATGACCAGGGACATCATAGTCTCCTGGGTGATGATCCGGGTGCTTGGTATCGTGTGGAATCTTATGACCAGGGATATCATATTCCCCGGGGCGGTGATCCGGACGTTTGGTATCGCGCGGAATGTTCTGATCGTGGAGATCATGGCCTTCCGGAGGGCGATCCGCAACTTTACGGTCATATGGCGCTGACTTCTCTTTGTCAGTGTCTGGAGGATGACTATCTGGCCTTTCGTGCTTAGCATCACGGTCATCCTGCGGTTTCGGTAAATCCGCTGCGGGTTTCAAGTGTGGTTGGTCCTTCTCTGCGGGGCTTGGTCGTGACTTCTTATCTTCAGCAAGGTCGGGTTTCTCAGGCGGATGTCGTTTAGGCGGGACATCCCTGTCACGCTGTTCGTCACCACGAGGCTTTGAAGAATCTTTTTCTGATAGGTCGCCTGGTTTTTCGCGCCCTGCTGGGACCACCTTTTCATCGTCTCGCGGCTTGGATGGCCTATCGCCAGGTTTCTCCGATGGCTTATCTTTATCAGGAGCACCCTTAGGAGCCTGTCCATCGTCCAATGGTTCCTGAGCCCGCCTCTCAGGCGACACATCCGTCACTGGAACATCTCTATCCGCCATTTCATCGCGTGCTTTCTGAGGCTCCTGATCAAGTTTCTCGTGCGGTTTATCCTCGTCTGGATAATCTTTCTCAGTCTTTTCTTTTCCAAGTGGTCTTGATAATTCTTGATCAGGTTTATCGGGTTGCCTTTCTGTGTCTGGGGGGCCTTCACCGGTCCTTTCGGGGGACGTCTTTCGTTCCGGAGCACTCCGAGCTGCTTGCGGCGTCTTGCCGTCCACACCTGGTTTTTCAGCTGTCGGGACGCCTTCCGTCGGGGAAAGGCTTGCCCTTGGTCCGGCTGCGGCTTGGAGGAACCAGCACCGACCTCTTCACGTGTCTCGTCTGTCCTCTGAAACAGGCTTTGATGGATATTCCGCATCCTTTTCAGTTGGTCTGTCTTTACGAGGAGCTTCCTCGATATGCTCCTTATCATGCGGCTTCGGAATAACTGATCAGGCTTCTCGGAAGGTTTTTCATCTTTTTTGTCGATGAATGGTCTTGGCGCATCTTTGCTATCAGCTTCGAAAGGCTTCATATCATCGCGTACCTGTGTTGGACCGATTTCAGGCAAACCGGCTGGCTTGTCCTGGTCCTGGTCTGAAAGGATTTTGTCGTCTGTCCTCTCATGCGGTGATTTTGAGTCCACCTGATCTGGCAGTTCCTTCGCTGGCGTTTGAATCGGTATAGAAATGGAATCATCTTCCCATTCGACTTCATCTGCACTATCGCTCACGGTGCCCACATCTGCTTTCTCGGCATTGTTGTCTTCATCGAAGGAAGACACACTTGACACAGTCTCCTTGCCCAATCCTACCCCAAGCTCACCATAGTCTGGCTTTTGCTGTAACTCGGGCTTTGCAGCGAGCAGTTTCTCGGCAAGAGGCTCAATTGTTTCAGGCTCAAACAGTGCTGACGGCGGGAGTGTTGGCGGAGGCGATTTCAACTTTCTGTCGGTTCGCTTCTCGGGAATCTCATCCGCAACATCTGCTTGACGCCCGATGGCGTCCGCCAACTTATCTGAATCGTCAAAGCTGAATGAAACCTTTTTCTCCAGGGGAGGTCGGGCCATTGGCGTATCTGGGGATCCCTGGTCGTCGACAGGCACCTGGCTATCGTCAAACACCACTTTTTTGCCGACGGAACTCGGGGACGACG